GAAATCAGGTAATCCTACCCATGCAATAATATAATGAAATACTAACATATAATTTTAGAATTAGTTGCGTTTTTAACTCTGGTCATATTTTTTTCCATACGTAGACCGAAACAGTGACGACGTGACGACTCGCGGGTGCGGGTTCGTCAAAACGGATTTACTTTCGCTTGATAATTACTATCACGTTTAAACGTTCAAAGCAGTGTTTTTTATGAAATCTCAATTATGATGTACGCTTGCGCACTCTCAATTACGATGTACGATAGTTTAACCTGACTATCGGCCTCTAGTATTGACTGGATCGAGTAGCGAGACCTCCGTTGGAAAATCACGCTCACGATAACTCCTAATTCAATAATTTATATCAACACTTCATTCGCGCTGTATTGCACGCTGCAATTAAGTGCCAAGCTTGTTTACTTTTCTAAACATTATGATGGAATTGCGTCGTGCACTTAAGACCAATTTTCCAATCATCTACCGTAATTGCGTTTGGACAATTAATTACAAAATTGTTCTCTGCACCGTCACGGGAAGGAGTTAATTGGTCGCCACACACACATATGGGAAAGCACGAGGGACACACGGAGATTTTCTTTTTCTGATAATTCGTTAAATTTGCATTTGATTTCTTCTAAGTGATTTTTATATATTTTAATATCATTCACTGATCTATCAAAAACCTTTACTTTACTTCACTATCCATCTTAGAATAGGAAGAGGAATTCTTTGTCCTATACACTTTGGAATTAATCAGTATTTTTTATCTAGTATAAGAATAGGGAGCTTTTTGTGGTCGTATTTTGTGGTCGTAAAGATTTTTTCTAGAACTGTAATTCATTTTCCAGTTTCTAAGTCTTTAACAAAGATACGTATAGCTTCTCAGATATACGTATAGCCCCAACCTTTTGCATTGGACTGATTATAATTATCGTCGTTGGTGTATGTATTCAGTTGTTGGTATAGTGCGGCAGAAGTCCTTACTTTATACAAGCTTGATTAATGACCAGAGAATGCTTTTATAAACAATTTTCTATTTCAGTTATATGTTGAATAATGCACTAACTAACAACACCTAATATTGCGGTGCGTTCATAATTCTTGTTAGTTTGCAAATACATTGTTCCACTTTTCATATTATTGTGTTATTACTGGAATCATAAGCTCATTTGTTGGAATTCATTTGATAATTTATTTCCCTTCGTCTTAGTTTCAGATATATATGGAAAAATTACAATTTTGTTTTCAGAACCTATTACACGGCTTCAACTTTACTTACGAACTTCGAGCAGATTTTGGGCGCAGCTAGGTTAAAGCGACAGCTCGAGCAAGAATTCATAGCGGTCTTATTGTTATCGTAGTCAAGGATTGTTCGGTGTGTGTATTTATCTGGATTATCAAAGTGTGGGACGCAATCACTGATAACTGCCACGACAATACGACAGGGTTGGCGGTCTCAAGGGTCTATAGCCCTTCATGCATGAGATTGCTGGCAACTGCGCACGTTTTGGGTGGTGTTCAATTCGCTCATGAATATCAATTAACTAAATCTCTGAATAACGATGCTAGGCTAAAGATTTTCTTCCTCTGCCCAAGTGTAATGCGCTATGAAACTAATCAACTTCGATAAATGATGCATTTGAATACATTTATGACATATTAATATCTTTTCTTTCCAGTGTTTTTTTAATCTAATTTGAGCGTAAAAAGCAATTCGGAATAAATTTCCAAGAGCGGGAAAACTCCCTTTGAATGAGTAAAAGAACAAATACAATTACTACATCGTTTCTACTCAAACAGGGAACTTTTATGGCTTTTTAGTGAACTTATGCACATTCAATGCATAACCAAAAAGATAACAAAACTAATTCAGTTATAATTCATTTTGTAGGGTTGTGTGTTTCTCGGTTACAAATATTTAAAGCATTTAAATTAGTGGATTCACCATCGTTAATTTCATTCACCTCCTTTTGATTTATTTATATTATAAAATATGGTTGGAATTTGCTGGCTAGCTGAAAAAATAACAATTATGTTTATTTTTTTTGTAAATATGCGCCGAACAAGACGCCGAACTGCGTACGTTACCACGTATGGGTTATGATCCAATTTCGAGGTAAAAAAACTGGGGAGTCCCCTACCTTGTCCTTAAGAACTGCTGTGTTGCGCATGCGCTAACTGCGTGCTAGTCCTGCGTCTGCCAGGCTACATTGTTTACATTACATTTAAAAATTTTCCACAAGATTAACTAGCAATTCTGGTAGAAATAACATTATAACACGTGTAAGGTTGAATCTAAAGCGGTGGAGGCTGAATCCAACGTGGTATTATCACCGATCCAATTTCGATCAGCGCTGTCCCTCTCTCAAGGCAGGCGAGATTCCATTAAGAGATAAATTAGATGAAATAAGCGCCGCCGAAATGGCTTGCTCAATATTCCATCCAATATTTCTTCGATCTTCCTAATGACACTTTAACCCGGTTCATCCGAGTATAATTTGGTCTATCGAAGGCTTATTTCATTTACCTCGGATATTCGCCACCATTTAAAAGTAGAGAGAATGCTAAGAAAACTCATCGTCCTTTCATTGAAACGAATAGTAGACCAGTTCCATCATCAGTTTAAAATACAATAATACTGCTACAAACAAACGGACAAAATTAAGGTAGTGTAGATTTAAACTTTAGAGTCTCAAGGTCAAGTAACGTAAAAACTGATCTAACCGCTTAAAATTCTAAACATATAGGTTTTTATGTTACCTCGACTGCGCTCATTTAGGTTTTAATGCCTAGTGAATAAATTCAATCGTTCGTTTGGCATAACTTGAATTACAAATTACGAGTTTGTCTCCGAAATTTTCCCTTTAAAATATAATGAATATTTGGGGCGATTTTTTACTTAAATTTTTTAGCTTTTGAAATTTGTTTCAATCATTTTGAAGCAGTACACCGCCTGACAAACAAAAAATTTTATGGTATTTATACTAAGAGACTAAGAATTTTTATATGAATTTCATTTGCGTACTTTAAAACTAAGGTCATGTTCATAAATAATATAGTATAATGAGAAACAATTTAAATAATATATTGCAGAAGCAAAACAAGAATGATTTATATGATTGAATATTATAACTTCTTCATGACATAGATTATTACTACCAACGCCTGCGGAAACACTAGCATTGCATTAGCATGGCGTAAGAAACGAGTCCGCTCACTGCGGGTTTGGTTAGGATGACTATCCTGCAGCAAGATCAGTGATCCCACACCGCGGCGGCGGTCCAAGAACCTTGAAACTGTCGCTATGCTGCGAGGCATGAATGCGCTCCTGAGAACTTCTACCGCTGCGTTACGACGCATACTGAGATGCGTGGTAACTGCCGGACGTACGATGTTTGTAGTAACTGTGTATCAATATAATATAATTTTCACATCGTATACTCACGTCCAAGTACAAGATATTATTTTCTCTTTATTATGCAATATTTGCGTTTATCCAATGAGGTCAACTGCTGGACGTTTATCCAAGTAGATTTTTATTATTTTTGCTATCGCTAAACGGAGAAATAGGCATGTTTTTAATATTATCTACCTATTTGCTTAAATTTTGCTTTATTCAAATGCATGCAAATTTTTACTAGCTAGAATGTACCAGCAATCATTTCATTGGACTGTTTTAGTAAATATTATAAATAATAATTATTATTATTTATTAGCTCAACAGAAATGACTGAATCACAGTTGTGTCCATGGGCCACAGTCTGAAGGTCTGTCGAATGCTTCTGGAGGTTAAAGAAAAACCTTTTAAGAAGAAACAAGATAAGCGGTTTGCAAAAAATCATCGAGGCTATTTAGTCTTATGGGATATGTAATTTTTTCGTGACGGGTACACCGATACTAAAACCGTACACCTATTATCATCTTATACGCATAACGTCTTTGTTGCGCCGCTGTTCTGTCATTGGTAATTTTAATATGCGCACATGGCTGCTGCGTAGTATACATTTGTGCAACCAAATGAGCTCGACTATTCGAATAGCGAGCAAAATAGTTGATTATTTAAGAACAACTTCGTTAATTGAAAATTGGGTGCATGTGCTGGTAACGCACGGACGTTGAAACGAATCAACTGCAGAAGCCTTAATAAAGAAAGAATTTAAGTGTAAAAGTGACACTTAAGATAAAAATAAAGATGGAGTGGTTTCCAAATTTTATTGGTCAAGATCCGAATAGAGATGCCATTTATGTAGCACCTTAAATAACATAATAAACGAGTTTAGGAATTAACTCGTCATGAAATTTAATATGAGTCGTTTACTCAAGTCGAAATCTGCACTCGGTAAACCCCCCAAGTATGATGAAAGTTCTGAAGTTGATGTACGTCTGTTGAATGCATGTTGCTGAATTGTTCACACATGTGAAAAATTTACAAAATAAAGTGGTGAAAAAATTGTTCAGGTTATATATATATGTTAGTAATTTATGAAGCCAAAAATCGTTCCGCAGATTCGAATACATTCCGTTTTGAATTGCTCAAAATTTAGTTTTCTCATCCCGATTGGACTTTAAAACTACGTGCTACGGAAAATGAAATTTCGTTAAAAATATTTTGATAAACAGGCTTAAATTTTTTTCCGAAAATAATGATGTTGAACAGAATTGGATTATTTAACGAGACTTGATGATTTTAGCTAAATGCTCTTAAGCTCGCGATGAAGGAACTTTATTCAAGAAAGTATATTAGTACAAGAAGTCGATGAAGTTCGAACTGTTGGAAAACGCATCGACAAGTTTCCAACAAAAAGTTCGTAGCGCGCGGCAAGTAATGTCTTGACATTGCAACGGTCGGGCCTGGTATGAGGGTATGCATAGAGGCGCTGTCCTGATGCTGAAGAGCGCTGCGATGCATGCCCCCGAGAAACTGTGATAAGAAAGCCGGTTTCTGGCCAGTAATATCACAGCTGCGACTGGTTTTGACTCGCAACAAGAACGTTCCCTGGAGGCCAAAGCTGCTGTATAAATTGGAGGGGTTGCTGGCCGTAGAGCATTTCCAACCGGAGACAGCAAAGATGAAGATACTTGTGAGTACCGAACCTTTCTTCTTCGTTGAGAAATATTCTATACAAAACATCTTTATCTCATCGAAAAAGTCTCTCAGCCACACCTTTGCCTCAAATCTGACTTATGCATAAGGATTTATATGATCATTTGAAATCACATGGTAACGATAAAATTGTATCATGCTTTTATTTCTATCAACGTTTTAATTTAAAGTAGGAGAGGATTGTATCTCCTAGTAGGAGTTACGAGCTTTGTTAGGATACTTTTCTCAAGTAGCAATTATTGAATGCACTTCCCGGGACATGTCGATGTAAAACAATGATATGAATGAACTAATCGAGTGCATCAGATAATCATTTCAGCCGTAATCAACAGATCATCAACCTCCTATCATAAGATGATCATTAGAGCCCATTTCATCATATAAGCAAAATGTGATAAAATCTGCCAAATTGGAGCCGCTAATCGCAAATAAAAAGTTGTTAACGTGTTGGCGCCGATCATTATGATAATTTTTAGAGTTCACTTTAAGGGATGTAGGAAAAGTTTCGGCAATGGCAAGTTGATTATTCCTTTAGATGAAATTCTGAAATTTCAACTCCTGTGTAGTAGATTCGTGAGATCTTTCAGATTTTAATATTAAATTGTTGTCTTGTTATTTACACGAGTCTCTTTCGAGCTGTAGAATTTCCATTGGTTATTCTTTGCTGTTTAAATACTTCTAATTTCGATTGTCTTACACAATATTATCTTCGAGCAATCTTTTCATTCCCATCGATGCGTGAATATCGCTGCGGTGTGGAATCATGTTGGTATGCCCTTCGTGAATTTAGAATAGCTTGTGATAATTAGGATCATTATCACTAAACTTGTTAATCCATGTCTCATATATTTGTTTTCGTTATTCTTTAACACTTTGCAGAATAAAAACTGTCTGAATGACGGTCTCAATATTGTGTTTGGTTGCAGGTGTGCGCATTGCTTGTGCTTGCGGCGGTCGCCTACGCCGATCCTCAACCGGCGGCCGAGGCCGCGGCAGAACCCTTTGGCTTCCGCAGATTCGGTTACGGAGGATATAGAGGATATGGAGGATACGGAGGTTTCGGCGGTTTCCGCGGAGGCTATGGATATTATGGCCGTAAAAAGAGATCAGCAGATCCCGAACCAGTAGCGGAAGCTGAAGCAGAACCAGAGGCTGAACCTTTTGGCTTCCGTAGATTCGGATACGGAGGATATGGAGGATATGGAGGATATGGAGGATACGGAGGTTTCGGCGGTTTCCGCGGAGGCTATGGATATTATGGCCGTAAAAAGAGGTCAGCAGATCCTGAACCAGTAGCTGAAGCAGAGCCATTTCGCCGTGGCTTTGGATATGGCGGTTTCCGTGGCGGATACGGAGGATTTGGTGGTTTCCGCGGAGGATACGGATATTACGGATAAGATATAATTAATTCCTGAATTTCGCTGATGGAAAAGAAAAGGATGGTATTATCGGGCATTGTGAGCAGACGACGCGGATAATTCCTCGCGATATTTGTGATGAATAAAGCCTTATTAGTTCACAGTCTCCCTGCATCAAAGAAGAAAATTAAAATAAGATATTCCTATAGCTCGAAGTAATAAACATTAAAACCTATCTCGACCTATGTGTAACCTTGGGTAAAATTAGGGCTACTGCATGTTTCCATCATATTATCCGATGACTGACATATCAGAGATGCACCATTTTCAATTATTTTATGCTGATACAAAAGAAACGAAGGAATACAATACGTTAGTTCTTTGTCAAGCTCTGAATCTCCGCCGAACGAATACATTTATCTGGATTGTTCTTTGCTACTTGTTTACTGTAATCTGTGACCAAAATTTTTTTAAGTTTGCCTATAAAAATTTGCAATTCTTTTCAATTTTGCGTATCAAAATTTGCATTCCTTAGTCGAATTGACTTAAAGACTGGAGCTGTAAAAAGATAATTGTCTGTGTCACTATATGCACAGAAGGAAGAGATTTTAAATCGATACGCTTCCATGAAGTATTACGAAGCGTGTGTCACTCATATCGCAGTTAGAAGATCTGCATTGACTCAGATTTTGGAAGATCTGCATGGACTCAGATCTTAACAGTAGAAAAATGAATGCTGTTTGTTAGTAAATCTGTTTGCGATAGCACTTGCTGACCGAGCCACAAGTCCGCTCTAAGCCATATTCATGTGATAACATTTTTTATTCCTACTTTTTTGAAGTGTCATATTAGCTTTCGCTGTCTAGATTGCTTGAAATGAAAACAAATAACAACCTCGGATTTCATCAATGAGCTGAAGTAAATTGGCCTCCTTTTATAGTGGCGCAGCAGGTTGGCTGCTGCAGTGCACTAATTATTAAATTATTGTGAAACAAATACACAGGTAATTTATTTATTGTCTCCTTCAGCAGAACCCCTGGCAGCGTCATGAATAACAAGAGGATGGCAATACAAAAATGTATAGCGTTCAAAAGGCTATTTCGTACTTCTTGATTCCAGGATTTGATCTGCTATTATAGGTCTAAAAGACTTTGGAGAAAACCATGAAATTACTTTGCAAAACTGAGAAGAATGGCTATATCGAAATATTAAAACTTAAAATTATTACGAAACCTTTTGAAGAATAAAATGATGAGCTGGAATTTCAATTCGGTCCAGCAACAAATTAAAATAACATGATCTTGAAATAGGGATATTCTGTTCGAGAAATTAAAGCACATCGACCACCGATTCAATAGCACTTGATCTAATCGACTTGCAAATTGATCTAATACACGGACAAACAGACCAGTCTATGCAATAAAAACAATTGCATTACATACAATTGTATATTATATTAAAAAAAACAACTGTATATTCCTCTGATTTGTCGCCGGTAAAGCAGGAGACAATTTACTGGTGTCAGAACGGTCTCAGCATAAGAGGCGGTCGCTCCCAACAGCTCAAGGACAATCCACGGCTATCTTTCTGCAGTTGTTTTCTTTCTATAAATTCGTCAGGATTTTTACCAGTAACTTAGTAGTTCTCAAAATGTTTCCGCACGCGACCCCTGTCTTTGGAACCAAGCCTGTTATGACATTTAAACCAAACGCACTTATCTTCATCAGTGCAGATTCTCTAACAGACTAATGACGGCAAAGAAAGCAGAATTAAACTGCTCTTGATCTTTGTAGAACTTTTAATATATTGATCGAAAATTATATATCAATTATTTATTTCAATGGGAAGACTATCCTTCTATCTTAGCAACAAGACGCGGTCTTGTGATTGTAACGACACATCTCAAGTCTGCTTCAGCAAAAAACCCGTTTTGAGCAAATGATTTGATCTGCACAGGGTCGAGGAGCCACTTTCACGGGTAGGTGGCTGAAAAATAAATAAGAATCTTCAGTTGAATTGGCTGGTCTTCGGAGAGGAAAAAATCTTCGGCCTGCAATTAGATATGAGGAGAATTTCGACCATGGATCGCCCTTTTGCTTGTGTTGTTGATGATGAGCTTCGAGAATACGTCTCTCGCGTGTAGAGGAAGATCATCCAAAATGCATCGAAATATATCGCTTACAAGTCTTCGCAGTTCATCAGCATCGCTATAACAGTTTACGAACTCTTCTCTAACAGAATTAATAAGTGTGTCATGAAATCTTAATGTAGCTGGCCACCAAGATGTTCATATCCGACAACCTCATTCATACTCTGGAAAAAAGAACACTTGTCCTGAACACTTGTCCTGAGTAGGCAATATTACACATTGTCGGCTCCCAAATCAACATTAGTAATTGCTACCTTTTTGCCGTGATTGACTGTAAATATCTGATATTAATCGAGGATTTCATTTACGCAAGGAACATTGATTGCCCTTCGACAAGCAACTCACGGGTTTTTGAAGTGATCTAGGTCAGCATTATTCATATTTTGGCTTATCTTACGAAGAACCTTGTCTTAATGATTTTTCTTGGATATGGTTGACGAAGGGCATCACAGTTTAGTTTTCAATGTGACATGGAAAGCAGCAGTTTTTGAGGCAAGAATATCTCAGTGAATCATGAGATGCGTTGTAATGACATCTAAACTCTTTCTTTGGTCCAGACGTAAATTGTGACTTGGAGCGTAGTTTGACTCTGGGGCTCCGACCGAGCAGACTCAAAGCAACTCTACACACGGGAGCTTACCTTCTCCGCAAAATTGGGGAACTGTATATGGACATATTCATTCTCTGTTATTGTCAAAGAATGTCATTCTCGTTGCTAGATTTGTTGTTCGCATTGCAATAATAGATATTGCGATCATTCTAATTGCGATATTTTTCATTATAATATTTTGTATTACGGTAATTTTTATTGAAATTATATGTACTGCAGTATTTTGTATTACTATAATTGAATTTTATCATCAGTAAAATTTTTACGCTATTTGTATTGCGACCGTTTGTATGGCAATTATATGTGCTTCGATCATTAATTGGTGTCAATCGGAGTAATTTTTATTACTATTATATGTATGACTATTATATTATTTGTTTGCGATCATTTTTTACTCAGTCGGAATAGTTCAGTTGAGAATACATGACATTAAAGTGGGGAACATCGTTCAAAAGATTACGCTATCGTAATTTAAATATTTTTTGTAATGTTATTGATGTTATAGTAAAATTTTCGAGGAGGGGAAAGAGGTACGGTTGTTGCGAACAATGCAAATCTGTCAATTTAATTTATTTGTGGCTCCTGCAAAATGGAATTGATTACTCATCAAAATTTCACCAATTTTATCAAGCTTTGAACCTAAATTAACTGTTACTCTTCGACTCAAATGTCATCGCTTGCTTATACTTACACATTCATCAAATCTTCCTAAATCTTGAAACATAAATTATATGAAAAAGGGATGAAGATCATTAAAAAATTTTGTTTCGGGGTATTTATTGTCCTAATTAGGGTCTTATATATAATTTTAAACAAATACGCTGTAAAGACATGAGAAGATCTTCTCGTTTGAACAACTGACTTCACAAAGTAATCATTTTTAATTTGTTTTATAATGCAGGATAAATGTTTCAATCCACGCCCACGTCAAGCGACGTGCGAATGTTTGCATGTCTGCCCCCGCATAGCTTTATATTTGCACTGCAGGGGCCTAATAAATTCTCATGTTTTCTACGCGACGAGCTAAGCATGAGTAATTTAGCGTGATGAAACAAACAAACCTAAAGAAATTATTTCTTGAATATTTTGTGGTGCGTTACCGTCATTGTGCAAATGTTACCTTTTGTAGCAGTGTACTTATTCGTGATGTCTAGTAAAACGGATCATAAATTAAATTTCTTTAAGTGTTTCTATTGAGGTTGAGTTGCTAGCATTTCTCGAATGAATTCGAAGACAGTATATAATCTCTAATTAGTTTAAATCCTCTTTTTATTTACTTTAGACGCAAGTTCAGCTGTTTTCCGAGCATGAGAATTTATTTTTCTTCGAGCTTGCAAAGCCGCGATTAACAGAAAAAAATTGACCTTCGAACGAAATTGTCGCGCTTTGATCGTATATGAAATCGTGAGTAACAATTAATAGCGCATTCCAGCTTCGATAAGTCATCTGTTGGAGGCCCTTCAATACGTTCCTTGTCTAAATATGAAAAGTTATGTGTCTATATATAGACCGCATACAATAATCTCAAAAATATTAGTATGCTATGTACAATGTTTCATAATTTGGATACTTAATTTACTTAATTGAATAATTAATATTTCGATGTTAGATTTGTAATTATATGAATTTTCAAAAGTTGAATGCCTTCGTACTTTCGTTTGTAAGGCCTACAAAAAATCCACTAGCGATAGAAAAAAGTAGCAATAACTGTATAAATTTTGCTCAACTTGACTTAGGAAAGTTCAGGATATGAACTTATAACATATATAAATAAAAAAATATATTTATATATTTAGTAAAAAAATATGTTAACAAATATATAGTAAAGATATGAAAATAAAAAAAAATATCAATCCTTGTTTATTGTGACCACAATGCGCGTATGAAAAGAATCGTATTATTTTTATTTAATTTTTATATGCAGCACTTAAATGGAAGAATTTGTATTGGGGTCTATCAAGAATTTTATAAGAAAACGTGATGAAACTTTTATACCAACAAAATGAATGATCGAGGCATGGGGCTCAGCAAGGATTCAGTAAGTCCAGGTATATCGTAAAGTTTATGAGGCATAAGGTTTTACAAGGTTTGTTTTGTCATGGTACATCGTAATGTTTTGATGAGACATTAGGTTCAACAAGGATAAGGTTTATCAAATATTTGTTAAACCGAGGTATAAAGAAACGCTTGATCGAGGTATTAAATGTTTTTCATGGTTTAAGTTAATCAAAGTTTCGACAAATCATGGCATAACACATTTTTACAATGAGTTAATAAGTTTATCGTGCTTAAAATTTATCAAATCTTAGGCTGATCAAGGCAACACAATGCTCATATGGGGCATTAGAATTATCAAAGTTAACGCAATGTTCGAGTGCAAGTGAGTCGGTTGAGTTGGTGGCCGGACGATGTTTGCAGCACGGCGGGTGGCGTTGGATTGACAGCGACTCGAGCCGAGAACCCTCAAGAGCAATATAGAAAGCCAGGATCTATGTTTTATGTAAAAATGATTACCAAGTACAACCGAGGGCGCAAAAACCGCACTTCCAAGGTCAAGTCATAGCTATATATTGCCGCGGCTTCGAACAGTCGGTACAACTTACACTCAAGTCTGAGAAGATGAAGCTTATTGTAAGTATGGCGCTCCGAGGAGCTTTCTTACTTGGGAAATCTTATATTACGCAGTTGTCTTTTATCTGGATTTTAGCTGAAAACAACATTACCATCGTAAAATGATTACAAAATTTATTTTTCATTATAAGCCGGCAAAATTACACAACCCAAAGTAAAAAATGTTAGAAAAAATTCTGTTCAAGAGCGTAAAGTATAAATGAATTTCTTACCCCGAAAGTTTTCCACTATTTAAAATTCATTTTTCATGGAACAAATAGAGGTATAAGAACGTAGAATTAATAATTTTTTTAATTGTATTAAAAAACTAAACTTTACTTTATAATCAGACATTGAACCGAGTAAAATTTACTATGAAAAAAATGATTAATGAATGGCTGCTCATGGTGAAATGGAGGCAAAAAGAGTTTGGTATGAGTAAATTAGCTTCTAAGCACAACAATCTCAGGTTAACACAAAATTTCTTTGTGTTCAACCGGATGATGAGTGAGCTTGTTGATAAGCAAGCCTATTTTCAGGCTCACTCATTAGCCCATCTTTGTATTCCTTGCACTCCGAGGAGCCTTTAAAACCAAAAATATGACCGTTCTAAAGCTTACATCCACTAGACCATAAGCATAAATGTTCTCGTTAAAGATTTACATATCAAATACTTGAATGGGAACGGTCGAATTACAAGTCAATATGTCAAATTGGATAAATTATACTATTAATATGAATGTTTATCAAATATATGGTGTATTTGTCGTATTTAGAACGTTAAACAAGAACAATTTTTGAAACCTCCTGAATCCAGATCACATTATTTGCACTCCATGTTATATTACATCTTACAATTAGACAACAAATCGGTCGAAATTGTTGTAAAAAATTCAATGTTCATTACGATTCTGACCATTGTTTAACATAAATTTAAATTATTTAATCTAATCAAATAATTAAATGACTTAAAATATCTGCTGCTGTGACTGGCTGGAGTTTTAATTTCAATCAACTCATAAGATTCGCATTGGCAGTGGCGAAGTTGTCTTCTCGCGACTGCTGTAGAAAGAATCAAGCTTGTTAAGAATCACTCGGAAAAATATTAAACAATATTATCATTTTTAGCGCATTTTCTCATTTCTGGAAAAAAGGCGCTATTGTGCTCGCCATATCCGTCCGTCCGTCCGTCTGTCCGTCTGTCTGTCTTTCCGAGACTTCACGTTTTCATCGACAAGAAATTTTGCTCTCTGTCGCTCACTGCAGTGAGTACTGAGTTATATTTTCTCGTTTATTGTCGATGCATATTAGAATTCAATAAACAAAATTGGTTTTATGACTCCACTGCTCGCGCTAAAATTGTTGTCATCTTTCAGTTGCTTGCTGTGCTTGTTTTCGCTGCGGTGGCGTACGCCGACCCCGACCCTAACCCCGAAGCTGCCGCCGAACCCTGGGGTTACCGCAGGTTCGGGGGGTATGGTGGATTCAGAGGAGGCTTCGGTGGCTTCCGAGGAGGATATGGATACTACGGTCGCAAGAAGAGGTCTGCAGATCCAGAACCCGTGGCCGAAGCTTCTCCTGAACCGGAAGCAGAACCCTGGGGCTACCGCAGATTCGGAGGCTATGGTGGATTTGGTGGAGGCTTCGGTGGCTTCCGTGGTGGATATGGATATTACGGACGCAAGAAGAGGTCTGCGGAGCCCGAGCCAGAGCCCGAAGCTGATCCATGGGGTGGCTACCGTCGCGGATTTGGATATGGCGGGTTCCGAGGCGGCTTTGGTGGATTCAGAGGTGGATACTACGGATAATGACTTGAACTTGACCCTCCGAGAATGATGATATACTTATTCAACATTTGCGCACTTTTGCATTGTTCGGAAACAAAAATTGTAAGAAATTCTCATGAAGTTCAGTATAAATGGATTTAGTGAATTAAACTCTGAGAACATTTCGAGATATTTCATCTCGACAACAATGCAATTATTCTTAATAAAGAGTAGCAATTACTCGTGAGTTTCAAACCTTTAAAATGTTTACCATCTTTTATCATCTCATCGATTTTTACCAATCCTTGTTTTACTAGACGACCGTTGTAACGGTAAAATACAATGTTTAGAGTTGAAAAAAATTATCAACTTTTATAAATAATCTCGAAAATTAAGACAAGATCTTTTGTTGAATCAATCAGTCCCCAATATTAAGACTGCATCTAAATTACGAAAATCGTGATTTGGATAACTGAAAAATGTTAGTTTTTAGGTTTCAAAGGAGAAATTTTCTGAGAGTTCATCTATGCTTCACTTATTAAAAGTTCATTTTGTATAGTAACTCGAACGTAGTTTTGTTGATCGGGTAGAGAATTTTGATTAAAAAAGATTTTTCCCCACATTTTTGCCAAAATATTTGTCGTTATACATGAAGTACAAGTGGCTGGATAAGCAAAACAACAGAATTAATTATAAACTTGAAGGCTCAGCAGGTTAACTGGAGACGAAGTGATACATTGTACAGTGACGATGACACAAAATTTGTTCATTGAAAATTCTTTTCGGCGAATTACAATGTAAAACACTTACTCCAAAAACAATATTTTTTTTCAACATTTTTCGTGCACCACACATCGAATCAGCTTCTTTCCTCCAGCGAGCAAATTTTTCAATGTTCAATCATTATATTTTATTAATTTTGTCATTTATTATCGTGTGAATTTGCATTTCCCGTACGGATACGGTTAAGCGATGAAGAAAGTTGATCTTGGAATTTGTGATGTAAAATTCTGTACAGAAATTAAAATACTACATCTTACATTCGTCAATAGATCAAAATATTTCACACTATAGGCATATAATATTATTTATGTTATGTAGGCTACTGAAATACAGTTCAGGTGCTGGAGATGCTCGCAACATCGGTTCGTAAATTCCTTATACTATCTGTTGTCCCATTGTTATATAGAAAGACCAGTATTATATTATACATAGAATATAGAGCAAGAATTTTGTCACTAATGATGAAGCCGCATGCTGATCTTACGACGTTTTAAATTCGCACAAAATATGCATTTCAAACACACACAAGGCGTGGTTGAATCTATTATACTATAAAAACGGGCAATGAACCAGAGTAATATGAGATGGCATGTGCATATAATAATCCAATTATTACATGATGATAATTTAAGACGATCAAAGTGAAATATTTTCATCTTGAACGTTACAAAAACCCGTTTTTAAATTGAATCGAAATCAAAACTGAATGTTCAGGAGCAAATCATGAAAATTATTGAGATATTAATTCGAGAACTTCGTTCTTTTTCATGACAAGAAATTTTTTCGACGACGCGAAAATAAACATGAATAAAGTTTCAACCTTTGAGAGAAATAAATGATACTTTCCAACACTTTTCAAACACGTCGCCTCAGACGTGCGCTGATGCCATTTGTTAACACAATTTATTGATACAAGAAATCTTGTTGCTTGCGATATTATTTGCTATCTCATAGAAATAATTCTAATGTCTTCATTAGCATTCGATAATTCGGTCTATAATTTCATCGTTTCAACATTGGCGAGAACGTGAAATTCCTATAAATTGCGTAACGGAATTATAACTGAAATCATACTCTAAATCTACTGCTTGGCCTTAATCTTGCGGTTAGTTCACTTGTGTTAAAAATAATTGAAAAAGTTTATGTGTCCATATTTTCCCAATTTGTGCAGTTAAATAAAATGAAATTACAGAAATATACATGGAACGTTTGTATGAGCAAGGATGAATGAAATTAGATGTATAAATGACTGCGTTTAGAGTGGATGAACGTTACTCCATTAAATACAATCATGGAGAGCAGGGAAAAATAATTAAAATAATTATAATAATCATAATAACAATCATAGAAAGCAGGAATAATAATTCTTCATTTGCCACATTCTTATTATGATCGGAGATTTAGAATAAAAGATTCTCAAATTAATCGATGTTGGGAGCGACATCTCTCAAGAAAGGGTGAGAAAATTCGCTCGTTTTCAGAGCTCACCATAGAAAACTTTGCTTAGAATAACAGCGTAGACGCATGAAAATTCACAGACAACATCTACCAAGTCAAAGAAAATTATTTATTTTACACGCCACTGATATGAGAAATTTTTCTAGTGTTTGATTTGCATTGAATCGGATAATTTATAATAGATTCGTCCAGAGAAGTTAAAATTATTAATTTAAACTCATGGCTGAATGAATAGGCAAATCGAAATTAATGCATCATATTTCATGTTATTTTGGAAGGTAGCTTCTATCCCCGTACATGCCTGAAAAATAAAATTAATCATGTTTTAGCGACTCCTAGCGATAAAGTATGAGACAGATTACTAAATTCACCCAATATAACTATTGTTGAAAATTTAAGTTATATGTTGAAAATTTAAATTGGTATGTAGCAGTTACATAGGTATTATGCGCGGTGTTTCCGGAATATTATGATAACATTTAAGATATATTTGGTGTTAATTTAAATCTATTGGTGATTTAAATGAATAGTTTGTCGTGGCAGCGGCAGGCACGGCGAGAAAGCAGGTAAGAGAATATTGTACTTGTTGAACAATAAAACTTTATGAAGAGAAACTAACATCGAATCTAAAATTATAATTCAATTTATTGATGAATGATATGCATAATAAATTTCATGCAAGATAAATTTTAAGAAATCTTGTTCAGCACTTTAGAAGAGTATATTCAAAATTTGTTTCTTTTTCGGCAATGAACGATGCTCTGAAGGCAACCTTGACGAAGTTATACACATGGTAAAGTTTTCGAATCAAATTTAAGGTTTGTGTGCGCGTTATGAAGAATTTTGTTGAAGATTTAAAAAGACAATTATGCGCTTTGTATGTAAGTTTCCAGAGATTGTGTGCACATTTTCAGACGAGTATCTCCAAAGGGCTCACAATAATAGTTGTTCATTTTTCCGCCTTGCTTTCAATTCGCATGACGTGAAAGGTAGAAAAATATTTCAGCTTTCGCACTTTCCGACTTTCATTCACTTCGCATGTTACACTCTTAGCGATCTCGAAGCCAATAGGGACTGACATGTCTTTATCTTTAATAATTAAAATTTACCTGCAAAATATTACGCAAAAGACAGGAATTAATTTTTTAGTTTGCATTAACATCGTTATATTTGTTAATTTTGCTTCCTGTTTGTTGAAAAGCTAATAATAAAAGATTTTCAGACAGTTAATATGTGTTCGCCATTTGTTTTTCTCATCAATGCATTTCTTCTTATGAAGAAAGGTAAAGATAAACATTTTTTTCTTGCAGGTTTATGATCCATGAATACCCATTGTTAGATTTTCTAGTAATTGATCTCCAAAAACCAGTGCAATATATTAAAACTGCTTTATTTGAAAAATTAGGGTGGAGATGTTCTTGAAATCAACATCAATATGGAAACTACAAGAAACGTAAGTGGGTTCATTTTTTGAGGCAAGTTTTTCATGTAAATATGAGAGGAAGTAGGATGTGTGTTTTGAATAGGTTTGTTATTACGGGACTGCCGGTGATGCTAAGAACTGTCGGCGGTGGCTCGAGCGTGCGATGAACCCATGCTGTAGATATAGTGACGTCGTCTGGGCCTTCCCGACGTAGGGATGGTGGTGGATTTGACGGACAATTTTGCGGAAGTTTAGGTGGTTTTGGAAGATTAAATGGCCAGGTGAGAGTAAATAAATGCAGGCAAGGAAGGCAGAACCTGTCCTGGGCTTATCAGACTCAAAGGATTGAGATGGAATTAGAAGATGATTTGGTAGATATTAAGTTGGTATTGGAGCATTAAATAGCAGAAACAATAAACGAATGAAAGAACAGTAACGCAGAACTCGAGTCTTCCCGATTTAGGTGGATAAGGAGAAGGATTATCTTGATGATGTCATAGATTCATCAAGATAGATCTTACGTTGATTCTAGAATCATAGAATCATGATTTCTAGGATCATAAATTAAAATTGTATGCATATAAATATATATATACTTAGAATATAAGGCACTTCCCACACATAAGGTATTTTCAAACACAGCATAAACCATAACCATAAGAAATATACAGGATGGTTCACGGAAACTTCCGGATTTGAAAGCTCAAGAAAAAAAGAACCAGTAAAGATATCATTACGATACAAGTTTTATCGAAGAAGACAGTACCTGAATTATTGCATCATTTTGTTTTAGAGACATCGGATAAATGACGGTCCCCATTGCCAATGAACTTAGTTAGTCGATTTTTCAAGCTCCGTTCAATTTGCTGTTGCATATTGACGGGTATGTTGGCTATGGCTTGGCGTATGTCGTTCTTTATGAGATAGGGTCCTTGGACAGTTGATTTTAAATAACCTCTTACAAAAAAAATCTCACGACGCCAAATCGAGTTATCGGGCTGGCCAAAGAAGGTCATCTCTCAAGGAGATGAGGCGCTTTACAAAATTTTGTCTCAGATAATGGATGGACCATGAGAAAAGGACGACATGACAGCAAACGCACGCTGCTCACTTATCTTGCATTTGCAATACTGTCCGCCCTTTTCCTACAACATCTGCCTGCTTGGCACGAAGTACAAAACGACAACATAATTACGTGTTAAAATCGGCAATAGTCCTAGAAAAATATAAAGACTGTGTTACACGTGAGGAGCTTAATGCCAAGCTGAAATAAATCTACATTGAGAGAAAACAAAAACTCAGCTCGCGCCATGACATGCAACTTCTCAGCTACGCTGGAGTACTGAAGAGCGAGGCTGGCAATGTAGACATGGAACCTGTATTGAACAAAGAGCTCCTCTGCAAGGATAAATTGGCTTCGTGAAACAACAATTGAGAAGAAGCACTAAAAAATAAAATTCTTCCAGACTTTAAATATTTATTGTTAATTTAGTTCTCTATTCGGATATATATTATTATTATTTATTTATTTATTTTGTCTTATTTATTTATTTTTCGTATAGACAAAATGTGTTATTTATTTATGTGTGCCTGTTAAAGCTTTGTAAAAGAGTGCAACTGACTTGGAGGCGGTACCTGGAATAAATTCATGTCCAGAAATTGTTTTTAAGAATACATTGAGAGGCAGGTTGAATTGATTTGTATATTAGTGATTGTTGTTGCCTGTCTATTTAATGTTCTCACCTGTCTATTTAATGTGATTGCATATCTATTTACCAGAAGAGACTGAATTTGCTAATGTACATAAAAATTTAAGAACCTGTGTCTGGCATAAATCACTTACTTTTATTTAGTTCAGTTTAAATCAACGGTGTAACACAGTTCGTTTACATTATGTCTAAAACGAAATGCTCTGTAAAAATTATTTAATTAAATAAACAATAAATAAATTATATAAAGATCGAAATATAAGTACATGGCGTGCTCATGAGCTTAGCTGACTATGCAATCATTGGTTGTTGAGATTTATTGGAATAAAGATATTTGACCATAATTCTCGCATTGTTGTGTATATTGTTCGTCACAATATCTTGTACCTTCTTACACGTCCGTTTTACTTATGAGGAATATTTAAAAATGTCGTTTTTCTCACCATAATTCTCAGCCAAGAAAATAATTCCTAATTAAAGCTCAGATAAAAGTTTTATTTTTTTTTCTACGTACTTCACGTGGAACCTTCTGCACAGTAAATACTCGTATAATGATTGCACAGTAAAGACACGTGCAGTGGTCTGTGCAGTAAAGGCACGAGTCTGCAATGCAGAGACTCGTGCAATGGTTTGCAATGCCAAGATACGTGCAATGGTTTGCAATGCAAAGACACGTGCAATGGTTTGCAATGCCAAGATACGTGCAATGGTTTGCAATGCCAAGATACGTGCAATGGTTTGCAATGCAAAGACACGTGCAATTGTTTGCATTGCAAAGACACGTGCAATGATTTGCAATGCCAAGATACGTGCAATGGTTTGCAATGCAAAAGACACGTGCAATTGTTTGCATTGCAAAGACACGTGCAATGATTTGCAATGCCAAGATACGTGCAATGGTTTGCAATGCAGAGTCACGTGTAATAATCTGCACAGAAAAGACACGTGTCATGCTTTTCGCGACTAGGGCGGGCGAAGGGTCATTCAGGTCATCAAAAACTTGTTTCTTGTCTGCGAGTTTCAGGGGAATCCAGAATGTTTTGAAACGGCGTATCAAATTCTGTCAACATATTTGCCTGTTAGAGTGCTACTAACGTAAAGAGCATTCTTATGAAGAAAAATCTTGAACTACAATATATACTTTCGGTATTAATAGTGTCATTGCAGCTTGTTAAAAAAATAATTGAAAACCCAGTTTACACGAATTTACAGAACGTCAATGGAACCTTTTTAACTTTTTATTATCTAGATTTTAACGCTCGATAATTCATTTGCTTGAATTTTTTTAGTCATCATTATAATTTTTTTTAATTATTCATTATGATTTATGAACTTTATGGGAAATTAATGAATGATTTTAAACGTTGAAAATATAGTTTCTTTTATTTATCCAGCTCAACGTCAGTGTTTCCAACTATTGAGTATTTAACTTATCAAAGTTATCGTGCCCGCATAAATGGATTAATTTTTCCAACAAGTTCATCTCTGTTTTATTTTAAATCTTTCCTTCCTCATTCTGCCAATCGAAGGGCTTGAATGCTCCGTATTTTGCCTCAAGTTGTGAATCTAATGAATTATTCCAAGAAACAATAATTGCGAAGCTCTGGCTGGATTTTCTAAGAATTCGATGCATAGTTTAGCGCCCGGATCTTTTTCTAGCCTCAGTTTGGCAATGATTACAAAGTCAGGCCAGGATTTCGTCCGGTTTTGAAGGTCAAACAAAACGTCAAACTGCCGCTGCCCAAGGCTAAGTTCCGGGTACATAAGGCCTGCGCAGGCTGCAAGCAATACAGTCCGCATTCAGCAGCCTACACGAACATGAAGTTTATGGTAAGTTTTTGCACCTTTATCTTATACTGACTTAAATAAATGACAAGTGACATAGGGATAAACTACTAGTAATAGCATATGTTATCTTTAGTTTCATTATGATTTTATTTTGAAATTCATCAAGAAGTCGTTCGGAATTCGATGGTAAATTGAGCGCTAGATTTGGTTTGGATCAGTTTTTGTATCTCAAATTCTGAGCGGTGAACTGAATCTTTTCTTCGCAAATTTTTAGTTTTCCATGATGGATAAAACTTTAATTTGGGAAATTAAATTATTAATTAGTACTATTAATTATGTGCAACTCAACTTACTTGAAAAGCTAACCTTGGCTTTGAAAATTTTGAAAATCGCTGAATTATTTTTCACCCATTTTCCTTATGGGGTTCAAAGAATCAATGTACGAATAATATTAAAGGTGTCGTTAATTTTATTCGTATATTTATACGATGGACAAGAGTTACCAACCGTAGAAAAGAGAACAGTAGAAACAGCAAGAAATTACTTTTTGAAATTTTGGAAAGCGTACCAACGTCACGCTATCTTCAAACTAATTATAATTAAAGACTATGCCGCTGCTACATGTGCTTTATATCGATGATAAACTTACAAGCACCTGGAATTTATTGTGTATTACAATTGTTCAATTCATATGGTTACGCTCATGTCGTTCTACGAGTCATATTCCATATTCATTCATTGGAAGTCAAATGAATGCTTCCCTCTACAATTAACGGAATTTATTTACAAGTCATCCTGATGTCAGTAAAATTTATCGACAGATTTATTTTCTCCTAGTGACAAAACTGCTGTCATCCTACCATTTAAAGTTACCTTGAAATTTGAACTCAAAATAAATTAAGATTTTAATAGTCGAAACTATTAAACTTCAAACAGTATATAATTTTTTTCAGATTTTTGCCGTATTTGTCGCGTTGGTGATGTCAGCGATGGCGTTGCCATGGGGAGGTTCGGAGGCTGACGATCGTGGCTACGCCGTGGATCCTCTATTGGACGATGGCAGCGCTGTTGGTGGTGGTGGTGGATACGCTGGAACTCCGGGAAGCTCATACGGATCTAGCGGACCTAAAGGAGGTGGATATGCCGGCAGCTCTAACTCTGGCTATGGAGGCAAAGGACGAAGAGGAGGTGGATACGCCGGTGGAACTGGATACGGGAACGTTTGAACACTGGATTAGGAACACTGCTAGAACATCAAATGCTGGAGCACTGCAGAACCGATGACTTTAGATTCTGAAATTTAAGAAATGTCTAATTACGTTTTGATTTAAATGGAATGACGCGTAAAAATTTGTAAGCGAATTTCATTTCAAAAGTCATTTCGTATCAAATTTAAGAATGAAAGGTTCAGATAATTATATTAAGGAATCTCTCAATTGTGTATAGAAGTATACGCACAAACTTCTATTTACCTGTTCAGTTATTTGATTAATTAAATGGATTTAATTACAGATATATTGTCTCGTTATTATTTCAATATAAATATTTTTTTCCAGGAAATGTTTCATTACAATCGTCGCTGCTGATCTTCATTGAACTACAAATAACATACGTACCAAGGATTAAAAATTGACAAGGTTCTGAAAAGATAGAGATAACTTTAACTCAAAATTCGTTGGCAGCTCAACTGAGAAAAAAGATACTACGCATGAACCGATACTAAGCATGAACCCACTGGGCCACCCTGCCCAGTGGTTAAAGTTCAGCAAATTTTAAATGAAGACAAAATAACACGATGAATGATTCAATTAACCATGAGTTGGGTAGTTCATATATTAAATAAGGAAATAAAGTTCACGAACGATAAGAAAATATCAAGAGAAAAATATGATCAGGAAAAATACGGTTCGGCTAGGTCCAACCATCAAGGTTGCCGCGCTTGGTCGATATAAAGTCAGAAATTGGTAAAGTGGCAGGCTGCAAGAAGTTTTAACGTTTCTCAGGTTCAGAAATTATAAGCTAGCGATGGAGCGCACAGCTGGTTGCGGACATGCTTATAGACTCGTTTTGATCCGACGTACCTTCTCCAATAAGTTGCCAACCAGTTGCCAACCTGTTGCCAACCTGTTGCCAACCAATTGCCTACCACTTGCCACCTCCTACCACGCAACTCGCAGATTATGACGTAAAGTTGAACTTGACGACGAAGAACAGCACCGGAAGTGCCTCCATCGTTGAGGCAGGTTCTCTAGTATCACCACCCGGCAGCCGCCCATGATCGTCGATATAAGTGATGTGAAATAACAAGAACTTGGTTCGGCAATAATGGCTGACTGCAGCTTCTGAGCTGAACCTAGAGGGCTTATCTTGACAGAGCACCACTGAGTTACCGCGACCTGCCACGCCTTTTAGTTCAGGCGGCTCAATCGAGAATGAGCTGGTCAAAGCTCGTATTCAGTTTCATTTTTCCAGCAATGCGTTGGACAGTAAAAAAAATGCGCGACCGACGGTTCTCAGAACCTCGGACTGCTACAGCTATAACTGTTGTAATGGAAATAATAACCATTAATTATTCAATCAGGCAATTATACAGTTAGATATAGAGAGCAAAATAGGCAGATGATAAACCCTCATTAAATCAGCATTTAATATTCATACTTGAGGATATTAAACATTTATGAAGTCAGACGATAAAACTTCATTCAACGACACATTAGCCGGTCACCTCCAACAGTTCCGAACACAATATTTTTACATGGAACGTAGATGCCAAAGGTAAATATGGAATACGGTTAAATAGTCGAATTACAATATTATTTGGTTATATTAACCCTTGTGTGTCCAGCTGTACATATATGTCACCCCTCAAAATAATAATTTTTTGTCGATGTACATGAACCTCATTTGTACAATATACAATATTTCGACTTGAATTTCAGGCTGCGCTATGACGATAAAACTCGTACAAATGTTTTCCCTTAATAAATTTGAACAATGTTGAATGGCTGCAATGAGGAAATTTGCAAGAAAATGGGGGCGATCTCATATATGAGACCGCTTGAAGGATGCAGGTTCATATGTATGGAGATATTTCGGAGTTCCATTAATTTGTGTGGGGTCTCATATGAGATACCACGGAGGTAATTAAAGGTAATCTGTCTGAACTTCGTCTATCATTTTATCTAATATTTAAAATTCTTTAGCACAACGTTTTCCAACATTAGATAAACTTCTAGCATATATTGATCTATTACCAAAACGATACTTGTTGTAGAACAATAACTAAATGAACGATGATCATGCATATTCATCAATTATTCAATGGTAATAAAAAATGACCCAAAATCATTATTTTATAAGTGAATAATTGGCAAAAAATCCTAGCATAATGTAGCCGGAACATCGCACAAGTCGCTGTTATAGGCAACCTTACCAAATATTATGAAATTGCTACAATTGTGTACACAATTTTTCCTTTCATTGTTAATTGAAATAATTTTTACATTATATAGAGGTGAGCATTTCTATTTTATTGTAAATGTTACAAGTCTTTCAATATAATGAGCAATATATTGAGGTTTAATCAAATGTTATCTGATTCATTTATAATTTGTATATATGAAATGAATCAAATGGGAATGAAATCGTGTAATAAATATTCGAAATGAGTCACTGTTACCTCAATTTTCTCAGTTTATTCGACATCTTTCAACTGTTGTAATCAAAATGTCAGATTTAAATATATAATGTTGAATTTAATTTTGCCCTGAGCTTAAAATTAGCATTTTTTTGCAAGAATTAATTGAATGCATTCTTCTCATAAAAATTTATCAGTGCTAAATTGATATGTAACAAAAATTTGAAACTAAAGAATTAAACAACAAATTATAACGTTAAAGATCTTCCGTAAGGATTTGTTAACAAGCAAGTACATGAGTTACATAACAAAATACGTGGAGTTGCTACTAAAACTACAGTAATGAAAGGAGATTTAAAAAACAATAAGTATTTTTAACTGTCACACGAGAAATGAGGCGCACACATTCCATTACTTTTTAAATGATCGTAGTGAGAATATATTTAAAATAGGGCATTCATAAAATGAAATAAAAATGAGAAGTATATACATAAAGGGCAGAAAAAGGGGAGACGGAAAATAATAATAAATATGCCGAAAAGTGGGGACGGTTTCCATCAAATAAGAAAAGAGGGATAGGATATGGATAAAATCGGTGCAGAAAGGCAGAGGAGAGGGTAACCATAAAATAAAAAGATGGAGGCTATCTATAGAAGCGGCACAGTAAACGGGGAAGGTATCCATATTATAATAATATGCGTTTAAAAATTACTTATAAAAGACAACACTTCTAAAGAATTCAATGTCTGCGATGTTACATGTGTAGAATGAATTTCTAATTTTATTATCAAATATTAAGAAATATAACTCAGTACTTACTGCAGTGAGTGACAGAGCGCGCATTTTCTCGTCGACGAAAACGAGAAGTCACGGACGGACAGATAGATAGACAGACGGACAGACGCACGGACGGACATGTCGAGCACAATAGTGCATTTTTCCATAAATGAGAAAATGCGCTAAAAAGTTATTTTCTAAATTTTATTTTTAAAATGAAGAAAAAAATCAAAATTTATTATTAATTCAATTGAATCATGCATTTTCTCCAACTTTACGCAAGTGTGCAAAATTTCAGATCGATTGGACAGGTATTAGTGTGTTAAATAGCGATTTTCAGATATGTAAGAGACAAAATTATTTTAAAATATTTTTTTAATATTAAAAATATTTTTTTTATTTCCAAAATTATTTATTCTGTCAATTGATTCATGGATTATCTCCAACGTTACACAATTGTGCTAATTTCAGATAGATTGGAAAGGTAGAAGTCTGTTAAATATTTATTATGAGATTATAAGATTTGTAGCCGACAGACAACAAGAAGTGAAGTTAAAGAGAAGTGTTATAAAAAAATTGTTGGATAGGTATAAAATCGTTGTAACACGGGGGAGTGTTTGTGAAATCAGTACAGAAATGGGTAGGAAATCGGTGCAGAAAAAAAGGAGGATATCCATAAAGTGTTAGGAGAGACAATTTGTGGATTGAAAAAGGTTAGAAGCTCACATGTGCGTTGTTTAATGTTTTGATGATGGCTTGGCTTTTGAATCTGTGACAACAAACAAAGAATTGGACAGAAGATTAGAGATATAATGTTGCAAATAGTCACTTGAGAAAACTTATTTATTTTCATAAACGAGGTCGTCAATAACAAGATGGACAACGTTCGAAAAAGTATTGATTACACAATGGCTTCCTTTGAATTAGTACGGTATAAAAAATACGGGTAAAATTTGAGTGGGGCTATAATGATTACATGAAGATTATCGCATGTTTGGAAGACAACTCGTGCTGTGGATGCACCGGCATTGAAGCGCAGCAGAGTAAACACGCCGGCTAGTATAGCAAGGTTCCGACAGAAGAACCCTACCGTCTTCATTGGAAACAAGGTCCGGTTGTCTTTGCTTTGGTTCCTACCGAACAAACATGGGAAGGTTAAACAAATTTTTGAGAAGTCTTAGTCATTCTGCGTCTTGGAAAAGTTGAAATTAAATTCAAGGTTGATGGTTTCAGGAGAGTATAAAACGATCTGCATGGGAACAGAGCATCAGAAAGCTGAAGTTCTTCACAGTAATTACAAGATGAAGCTCCCTGTAAGTACGGTAAACTTAATGATATACACTAAGTAAGTGCACGAACGTGCTTTAAATGTGATCACATATCTTTAAGAAAACTACTTACGTTATCTGGGTGGTCTTCTCACATGAAATATTTTAATTGGTTAAATAATATGGTAATTGCAGACATGCTTTATAAACGTTGAAAATTGATTTTTATCAGAAATAAATTCACATAGTCCTCCTGCCTAATGATCAATTACTGCATCAATGATTGTGAAGCAACGACGGCTTGTCGCTGCCTGAGTGAATGATTTCCGTTCAACTGAACCCTATTAGTCCGAATTTTCATATCCGTTGACATTTGTGTCAAGAAATTCATACATGATATAGGAATTTTTTGTAGTGATGCACTGAAGCAGTTCCTCAGGATTTTATTTTTTAATTGAGATCTTAGTTTTGCATGATTTTTTTGTTATCCCTAATGTGTCTAATGCTTGAAGTTTCTTTCTAAACTAAATCGGATTTCGACAATCTGAGATTTATTGTTGTGCTTCTCTCAAACTGGACCACAATCTTTCAAGCTGAATAGGAAACCATGAAAACAATTTCTAAAAGTCTGTAAACCCTATTTCAAAAAATAAATAAAAGTAAACCATATACAGCTTGCTCCCGTTAGTCGCGGTTTGGAACATTAGATTTAGTATAAATAATTAATTTGGAATTGAAAAGACTGAATCAGTTACTTTTGATCAATGACATGATACTTTTTTAACTTTCTGGATGACAGATTCTTGTTGTGGCGTCTTTGGCGCTCATGGCTGTCGTGGCTGCAGAGCCTGAAGCTGAAGCCCATCATGGATACGGCGGATACCGTGGAGGATACGGCGGTGGATACGGACGTGGTTACGGTGGCTACGGATACGGTCGCAAGAAGCGCTCTGCTGAAGCTCTAGCTGAAGCTTCTCCCGAAGCTGAAGCCCATCATGGATACGGAGGCTACCGTGGAGGATACGGTGGTGGATACGGGGGAGGATACGGGTATGGGGGATACGGAGGCTATGGATACGGCCGAAAGAAGCGCTCTGCTGAAGCTTCTCCTGAAGCCGAAGCACATCATGGATACGGAGGATACCGTGGAGGATACGGTGGTGGATACGGGCATCGTGGTTACGGTGGCTATGGATACGGCAGGTAGAGGGGCTCCGTTGAAGCTAATGCTCGGCATGGATAAGTAAAATAATGTGGAGGATACGAAAAATAAATCGGCAACTGCATGTGGCGTGGAGATGGCTATTGCCCCAAACAGATCTTTCACATCGGTGCAGGATGGAATAAAGCGGTGTTTTGACTACTAAAAATACGAGGTTGATAGAACATTTTAATTGATTGTATCGTACATAGTACAAAATAATGTTGCAGTTTTTGTCAATTCGACCTCAATAAATAACGCGAACCAATTTTTTTATATACCTGCAATTATAAATAATGAGGACAACAAAGAAAGCCCAAATTGATCTAGATTCTAGATGACAGTTTGCACTTAGAGCTTTATTAATTGGGTAAACTGCAGAAGAAAAAGTTAATGGATTATGCATCATAACTTTAGTGCACAAAAATTTTCGAGTTATCATAAATAAATTCCTGTTGAACAATGTTCTATAAATTAAATTTATTACAAACATTCTCTAAATTCTTTCTTGTTGTCTGACTTTCAATTTAATTGTGAAGAAACACACAAATCAAATAAGATTACATTAATTTTCGTTATGGAATTGTATGTAGGGGTTACATGGGGCAGCGGCCCCCCCTATTTTAAACTAAATTTTTTATGAAGTTTTAATTGATACGAGGTAGTTCTTTGTTTTGTTTAAAGGTACAACTAATGAGGAATGTATGATGTGAATTAGATGCCTATATAGCTATTTAATTTTTAATGAAACACTATTTTTGTAAAATGTGACAAAATGGGCAAGTCATTGCCCAGGGGTGGGACAATGGGCCCATTGTCTTGGGGCAAGGCGCCCACCCCTGGTCCCTTTACCCCAATTGCATATTTTTGTTCAAAAATGATAAAGCAACACTTTATAGTTCAAAATAAGAAAAATGTAACAAGAAATATCACATTCATTCCTTTATTAACAATTTGAAAAATCAAATCCTTATCTTGAAAAAAATATATTCTTGGCTTAAAAAATGTAACAGTGACGTGACAGAAATATTTCCTTGACATAGAAATATATATCCTTGACTTGACAAATATATCTTTGCCGCAAAAAAATCATCCCGACATGAAAAAATGAATCCTTGACTAGAAAAATATATATCCTTGATTAGGAAAAGCTTCGTTCCAGTTTCGTCCATAATCCATCTATTATGTGCATGGAATTCGTACGTAATCGTGACACCATATAAACTCATCAACTTTTGGTTCGTTGGTGTTGGCTGAAATCAACTTTTGGCAAGGCAAAAGTCAATGACTTGAAACCAGGTCATGAATACGCATAACTAGAACTAGAACCTGCTGCCTTGAGGCGGAAAATAAAAAAAATTATTACAATATGAAGTGTTATTTGTAATTCAAAAAGTTAGTCATAGTTTTGAAGAGCTCATTGAGACAAATCTAATGATGTATAACACAAGACTTCACAGAGGGGTATAGAGCCCACAAGGGCGCTTTGCCCCTTTACATGCATGGGCCCGTTGCCCCACTAGGTATCATTTCAATTTATATCGTGTCCGCATTTTATTTTAAAAGCTAATAATCAAAATTTGAACTCAAAATTATCCTTGTAAATAATACTTTAAATATATAATTCACAGTAATTTCGTAAGCTTCTTATACAGTAATCGAAAACAGTTTTATTTAGCAGCAAAAAACCTTTATCTGGACTAAAACAGTTATTTGCAACTAACTTACTGTCGAGGTCTCTCAATATCAAATCTGTTCAACCCTTAATGTCCGATGCAAGGTGATATGGTTCTCATCACGTTCTGTTGGATTGTATAACTTTGCAGTATAGCACCACGACCTCGAATTTCTTACGTCTCAAAGCAACCTAGTTTTTGCATGATTCCTTAAGAACCTTTTTTGAATATGGCCTATTTTGTACCTATGTCTTTTTTTACCGATGTTTACTCTTTTACTAGGTAATTGAAACGGCAGTTGATACATATACCACGATTAACGTTAATGTCTTGTCATATTTCCACTTGTTACAGAAACCACTTCTGAACCAATAAAGTTCCTGTGTCGAATCAACTTTCACTCTCGTCTGAGGAAGCACGAAAATTCCTTAACACTTACCAACGCAAACTCTTAGCAAAATATAGAGACGTACACTTCAGCCCAGTGAAACTGTCGACCGGCGGTAGAGCGCACGGACCAATATCTGCCATACTTAGCGGGAAACCCGCTATGGGCCCATGACCCGCAGTGGTCCGTTGGCCCCATGTTACCCTATTCGATTGCTTTCCAGTTCCCGAGGCATTTACAGACGGCCGCAAGCAAATCTGGTCAACTCAAACGAATTTTTTTTATATATATGTGAAGTAGAATTTTGATATTTTGATATGTGATATATTCCGACCATCACCCAGCGAGGAAAATTATTTCGTGAAGATCTCAAAGGCTTGATCATTCGATCAAGCGTCTTCAAAAACATTAAAGAATATCACGCATGGCTCATATTAGAATCATAATGCGTGGGCACCTCGACAAATTTATTGCATCATTTATAAAACGATTTGAAAAATTAACCTCAATTTGCTTTTATTTTACAAATAGAATAATTTATAATTTTTGCTTTTAATTTTTTTTTTCGCAAAATTTATGACATTCCTCAACGATACGTTGTTCTTCCTCATGCGTAGTTAACCTAGCCAAGACAAGTTGATATTTGGATCAAATAGTGCCTGGGATTTAAATGGATTAACTAAACTAGACAGAACAGATTCTAATGTCAGCACGATCACCCTTGTGAAGACGATACAATCTTTTGAAAAAACTATGAAATATTATCGATAAAATAATAGGTACAAAACCTTCTACAAAAAACTTACTGTTGGGAGAGAGTAACGGTACAATAGATAAGAGTACAAGCAGCGTTCGGCCTTGAGTGTGAGGGCGCGAGGGCTGCGCCTAATGCCGCGTCCTCCAAGGAGCCGCCACTGCGGCGTTTGTCCTCCAAGTGAAGGAGGCGGACCCCGCGCTGGACTATTTAAGGGCTGCACTTCAGCGCTGAAGTACCACATCCTCTCGCTCCTGCCAAGCATAAGCAAGATGAAGCTCCCGGTAAGCACAGCTCCATCAGCTCCATCTCCGGTTCAAAAATTAATAATGCAGATTTAATCAGTAGTTAGTGCGGTCAATATGCAAATAAAAGATACAACCTATAATTTCCATATTAGAGACAAATAAATAAATATGAATACAAAAAACTGCAAAATTGATCTATTAACAATTTCAAGAGGATATGAGCTAAAGTCGAATTTAAACTTTTTGACGGTTCTTATGTTTGCTCTGTCTTAAATTTGTAACTTCGGGTTTCAATTGAAGGTTTAGGTTTTAATTTCGACTTTACTAACAAATGTTTGTACTTACATTCTAGAATTTTTGAACAGAATATATAGCTGGATTTTGAAACGATTTCTGTGCGGTAAGATAATTTTCACGTAATTTTCTCTGCGTCTGAATTTATAAAATGTTTCTTCTGATACAAATTATGACAGCTGGAAATAAGGTGTACAAGAATTGTAAACTCTTAAGAGCTTTAATGAATGAATGTTTTTTCGTACTTAGATTCTCGCCGTCGCGCTCCTTGCGCTCGTCGCCGTCGCCTTCGCTGAACCCGAACCCCAACCCTGGGGAGGATACGGAGGATTCGGTGGCATCAGAGTAGTACGTGTTGGTGGATTTGGTGGTGGATATGGTGGTGGATATGGTGGCTACGGATATGGCCGCAAGAAGCGATCTGCTGAACCTGAAGCCCTGGCTGAAGCTTCCCCCGAGCCTGAAGCTGAGCCATGGGGAGGCTATGGTGGATTTGGTGGCTTCCGTGGTGGATTTGGTGGTTTTGGAGGCGGATTTGGTGGCTTTAGAGGTGGATATGGAGGCTATGGATACGGCCGCAAGAAGCGCTCTGCTGACCCCGAACCCGAACCTCAACCATGGGGAGGATATGGAGGATTCGGTGGCTTCCGCGGTGGATTTGGTGGTTTCAGAGGCGGATTTGGTGGATTCAGAGGCGGATTCGGCGGAGGCTACGGTGGATATGGTTACGGAAAGTAACCAAGAGTCTTGTTTTCAGTAATTTCTTTGCAACCAAAAGTACAACTTTATTTTTTTGACTAAGTTTTTCACTCCAATTCCTTTTTCGAATACAAAAAGCATGATATTTTAGATGTCACTTTAAGAGTGGAACCAGGGCAAATATATAGAGTCGCGATATCACATCGTCGAACAAAATTATTCGTCTAAAATTGAAAGAAGAAAACATGGCGTGGAAATAAGTAAGCAATAGAGATTGGCGACATGACCATGTAAGAAGAATGTCGAGAACATTCCGATTATCATAGCGCAAAAATTAACTCAACGAGCAGCAATAAAAAAATATCACGATTTGTTTAAATGGTAAGAAATTTGTAAATCTATTTATTATTGACGTGTATCCACCTAATGCATTTTTATTAAAACTTATATCAATCACGTTTTCTTACTGGGAATATAAATGTTATGCATAAAATTAGGATTTTTTGTACATTACACGCTAATTAATATTAATGTTTTATTCACTTATTGCATCGCTTAGACAAAAAATTATCCAAATAATTTCATATTTCCAATCAAATCAAAATTGAATAAGACAGACATTTATTAGTACACATCAGTTTAATTTTTTCCATAAGATCGTCTCAAACCAGCTATCGGGACATAAAATAATTTCAGTCTGATCCTAATAATAATTCATTATATAAACGATGTAAAGGCAGACACAACATGCTTAAAATTAACCCAAACGAAGCATCCTGAACATTTGGCTCCATAGCGTGATGCCAATTTACGTCATGGTCAGTAGACTTAAAAAGCCATAACAGTAACATAAACTAAGAGGATATCGACTGTCAGTTTGAACCCAAGTCAGAACAAATAGCCCCATGTCTAAAAATTGTGGAGCTGAATTGAAAATCAAAAACAATTTTTGGCGCGATCTTGTCGACAAGAGTCTTGAGCACAAATTAATTTTGTTTACCCACTGCCGAATAAAAATAAGGCCAACCAGCAAGTGAATTTTAGAAAGTTATGAACTTTTTTAGGAATTAAAAAAAAATAAAATAAATAAATGGGTTGCTGGAAAAAGGAACACTCAGGAGCAGGTTTCGCGGTAATGAGAGTTCCAAGCAGTTACCTGACATGTCAACAGTACGCAATGGCGCGAACAGACTCAATCTCATCGACGGCATTAAGCTAATGTATGAAAAATCAATTATGAGCAGTATCTCGTATGCCCCTACCTAAGTATGGAGCGGAAGATAACGTACAGGTTTGCCTCATAACAAAGTTCTTAACATATGGAACAGGAAAGTTGCGTTTAGCCTTGCTTCTCATGCCTGAAGCTGAAGCCCATCATGGATACGGAGGCTACCGTGGAGGATACGGGGTGGATACGGGGGAGGATACGGGAATGGGGGATACGAAGGCTATGGATGCGGCCGCAAAAAGCGCTCTGCTGAAGCTTCTCCTGAAGCCGATGCACATCGTGGATACGGAGGATACCTTGGTGGATACGGTGGTGGATACGGACACCGTGGTTACGGTGGCTATGGATACGGCAGGTAGAGGGGTTCCGTTGAAGCTGATGCTCGGCATGGCTAAGGAAAATAATGATGAGGATACAAAAGATAATTCGGTTACCGGTTAGTGGACATGGCTATTGCCACCAATATAGATCCATCACATCGGTGCAAGATGGAATAAAGCGGTGATTTGATTGCTAAAAATACGAAGTCGATATAACATTTTATTTAAAAACACAAGTACCAAAATAATGTTGCAGTTTTCATCAATTCCACCTCAGTAATTAATGCCAATACATTTTTTTATCTACCTGGAATTATTGGTAATGAGGACCATGAAGAAAGCTCAAACGGCAGTTTGCACGTAGAGTTTTAATTGATTACTTAGATTAACAGAGTAAAGTAATCCTCTCCTCCCCATAACATAGATTATTTAGAACAGCTGCAGAAAAAAATTTATGGATTAGACATCACACAACTTTATTGAATGACACCAATTTTCGAGTTAACAAAAATAATTTCTTGTTGAACAATATTCTTCAAATAAAAATCATTACAAACATTTTATGATTTCTCACGGGTCACATAACTTTCAATTTAATAAAAAACACCCAAGTCAAATAAGATTACAAAAAAGTTTCGTAATGGAATTATATGTACTCGATAGCCTTCAACTTCGTGAGGCATTTACAAGTTACCGCATGCTAACCTGGGCAACGCAAAATAAGTTTTTTTATATATTTGTTTTACAGAATTTTAATATTTTGATATGTGATGTGATATGCGATGATCACCAAGCGGGCCAATTATTTCGTGGAGACCTAAAAGGTTTGACCTATTAATATAGAGTCTTCAATAACATTGAACAATATCATGCATCGTACATTATATACAATCACAAGGGTTGGCAGTTCAAAAAAATTCTAGCGTCATTTATAATATGATATGCAAAATTAACCTCAAGTTGCTTTCATGTTACAAATAGAATAATTTAAAGAATTAGCTTTTAGTTTTGTTAGAAAAAATTCATGACATTCCTCAACGATACGTTGTTCTTCCTCGTGCGTACTTAACCTAGCCAAGACCTTCTGATAGCTGGTCAAATAGTGCCTATAGGATTTAAATGGATAAACTAAACTAGACCGAACAGATTCTAATATCGGCACGATTAAACTTGTGGAGACGATCCAATCTTTTGAAAAAACTAAGCAATATTATCGATAAAATAGTAGGGTATTATGGGGCAAAGGGACCACTGCGGGTCATGGGCCCATGGCGGGTTACCGTTATGGGCCCATGACGGACCGATATCTATCAGATATCGGTCCGTGCGCTCTAGTCGGTCGTCAGTTTCACCGGGCTGGAGTGTGGCTCTACGTTTTGCTAAGAGTTTGTTTTAAGTTACTTGAAAATAGCTGTTTTAGCCCAGAAAAAGGTGTTTTTGTCGGCTAAATAAAACAGTTTTCGATTACTGTACATGAAGCCTTTGAAATTACTGTGAATTATATTTTGAAAGTATTATTTATAGGGATAATTTTGAGTTCAAGTTTAGACTATTAACTTCTAAGATGAAATGTTGACACGATATAAATTGAAATGATACCTATAGTGGGGCAACACGCCCATGCGTGTCACGGGGCAAAGCGCCCATGGTGGGTTCAATACCCATCAGTGAAGTCTTGTGTAATACATCGTTAGATTTGTCTCAATGTGCTTTTCAAAACCATGAATATATAGCTTTTTGAATTACAAATTGCTCTTCATATTGTAGAATTTTTTTATTTTATAACCTGCTGCCAGCTCAAGGCAGCAGGTTATAGTTTATAGTTATGCGTATTTATGACCCCTTATCGAGTTATTGACTCTTGCTTTGCCAAAAGTTAATTTCAGTCAACACCAACGAGCCAAAAGTTGATGAGCTTTTGTGATGTTTGCTGAAATCAAGATTAAGTACGAATTCTCTGCACATAATATCTGGATTATGGACGATACTGGAACGAAGTTTTTTCTGATCAAATAAATATATTTTTCCTGAACAAGGATGCATTTTTACATGTCTAGGGTAAATTTTTTATGGCAAGGATATATTTTTCAAATCAAAAAATATATTTATAGTTTTATGTCGAGGAAAAATTTTTTTTCACGTCAGTGAAAGATTTTTAAGACATAAATATATTTTTTCAAATTATGCATATGATTTTTTAAGTTGTTAATAAATGAAGGAATGCAATATTTTTTATTAAATTTTTCTTATTTTGAACTGTAAAGTTTTGTTTTTTCACTTATAATTGTGGTAAAGGGACCAAGGGGGGGCGCTTTGCTCCAAGCCCATGAGCCCATTGCCCCAGGGGTTGGCCAATGGGCCCATTTTGACAAATTTTACACAATAGCGTTTCATTAAAAATTGAATAACTTTATATATAGGCGTGTATCATATGTTCCTCATCAGTTGTAACATTAAACAAAGAAAGAACTACCTCGTATCAATTAAAACTTCATCAAAAGTTTAGTTTAAAAAAGGGAGACCCGCTGCCCCATGTTACGCCTGGTACAAAACCTTCTAGAAAAAAAAACAACTCTTGGGAGAGAATAACGGTAAAATTGATAAGAGTACAAGAAGCGTTCGGCCTTGAGTGTGAGGGCGCGAATTAAGGCTGCTTGCTCCTCGCCGCGACCTCCGAGGCGCCGCCCCTTCGGTGTTTGTCCTCCAAGTGAAGGAGGCGGACGCCGCGCTGGACTATTTAAGGGCTGCACTTCAGCGCTGAAGCATCACATCCTCTCGCTCCTGCCAAGCATAAGCAAGATGAAGCTCCCGGTAAGCACAGTTAACCTTAACTATATTTTTACTGATACTCGAGCAGCTTTACAATTGTGAACTGAGTTGCATGTTTTGAATTATGTTTCACGAACGCAAAATGGAGCCAAATTTACCATCATATCCAGTTTCTTGTCACAAATATTATGATCGATGCTATTAAAGTGTACAATAATTGTGAACACTTGGGAGTTTTAATAAATATTATCTTTCCTTCATACTCAGCTCTTCGCCGTCGCGCTCCTTGCGCTCGTCGCCGTCGCCTTCGCTGAACCCGAACCTCAACCCTGGGGAGGATACGGAGGATTCGGTGGCATCAGAGTAGTACGTGTTGGTGGATTTGGTGGTGGATATGGTGGCTACGGATATGGCCGCAAGAAGCGATCTGCTGAACCTGAAGCCCTGGCTGAAGCTTCCCCCGAGCCTGAAGCTGAGCCATGGGGGGGCTATGGTGGATTCGGTGGCTTCCGTGGTGGATTTGGTGGTTTTGGAGGTGGATTTGGTGGCTTTAGAGGGGGATATGGAGGCTATGGATACGGCCGCAAGAAGCGCTCAGCTGACCCCGAGCCCGCACCTCAGCCATGGGGAGGATATGGAGGATTCGGTGGCTTCCGCGGTGGATTTGGTGGTTTCAGAGGCGGATTCGGCGGAGGCTACGGTGGATATGGTTACGGAAAGTAGCCATATATTTTTGTGATCAGTCATTTCATTACAAACATAAGTAAATTTCCTAATTTTAATCGAAATTTTCATTATATTCCCCATTTTCTTACATAATGTAAATTAAATTTCTTATTTTAGTAATTTGCTGCGACTGAAAATTGCGTCACGATATCAAGTTATCCAACACAACTGGTAGTCAATATTCGAATGAAATAAACAAGATACGGAAATAAATAAAAGTTATATATATATGTATGTGTGTTGCGCAAAAATGAAAGGTGTGTGTCCAATCATTTCCATCAAATACTGTATATAGCCCGTAATTGGGCTCATGGAGCTTGAAATATTAGGCCTTATTATGATCTACAGTATGTCTGCCGCATTTCCGTGGCCTGAGTGGCATGCATTAAGATTTGCATTCTATTGCAAGCAAATATACTGTTAGGTAAATTGCCTTTGGTGCAACTCTTTCGACGTTCAATCATTCAGACATTTTCCTATGGCCAAAGTACAAAAGTTGTAGTAAATACGTCATAGCATACCTATCGTTTTATTCCCTTACAATTGCTTAATCGTTCACTCCGAAGTTGTATTAATCTAGCTACTATAGAACAGAAAATATTTTCAAATGAAATAGAGAATCTAGCATCAATTATGGTAATGACATGTTGCCCTAGCCCAGCGCCATGGATATTTGATTCGATAGGCTGCAGGGCCTAGTGATATATTGCAAGGCATAAATAGACAACAGACTCAACAGACCATGGCAGACATGTAAATTTAGAAGTCAATAGTCAGTTTGAAGAAAAGCATGCAAAGAGTTTTAAATATGTAATGAAATGTATATAAACGAAAATTCAGAAGCTTTAATAGATAACAAAAATTATTATTGGTGCGTTCCAGTCGAATGAAGTTATGAGCGCAAATCAATTTTGTTTGAAATTTTTACATACAAAAACTATCCAAATATTCTGTGTTCAAATGTCTGGAGCCTGTTTTGGCAAAGTTAAAATAATAATTCACTGGATTGCTTCCTACAGAAGCATTCGTCACTGCAATCATTCATTGGCATAGTCCACCCGTGAATTGTTCTTCATGCATCTTTTTGTGGGCGACGGGTGCAGCCTTCATTGGGCTGCCGCGCTCAGGTTTTGTCTCTATTTTTGGGCTGTAGAAGTTTTGCTCAGTACTGCATCTTGAAAAGGCAATGAACATACGTCACTGATGAACATACGTCACCGTCCTTCTCAGTTTCACTGAGAAGGACAATCGCAAAAGTTCTGTCAACTTTGGCGGCTTTTTTGGCAAGTGTAATAATTATTGTTGGATCCTGGGATCCGTTCTTATAGAATAAAAAATTACCGTTGCGTATAACGGAGGTCGAAGCAGATACCTCAAATTTGAGAGAGCCTTATGAAGCAAAGCCGACTATAATGCAACAGTGGTATTGAGGTTTAGGATTCATTAACAGATTATAACCGATTCCTCATAAACCGGAACCAAACATATAGAACAGAATGCTTGCAAAAAGCAGCGCGTACTCGCATGATGCTACCTTGCATGCGGAATGAAAAAAAATATAACTCAGTACTCACTGCAGTGAGTGACAGAGAGCGCATTTTCTCGTCGACGGAAACTTGAGGTCACGGACAGACGGACGGACAGACGGACAGACAGACAGACAGACGGACGGACGGACATGGCGAGCACAATAGTGCATTTTTTCCATAAATGAGAAAATGCGCTAAAAGCATGCGGAAATGTCTCAAAGACCAGTACCTAGTCTGTGGAACAGGGAACTTACATTCAAGCCTTACATGTCAGTATATGTACACTGAACAGTTAAAGAAACATGTACTAGTATTGTTAGACTTCAACGACCTCAAGTCGCCGCCTCAGATGCGATCTGTAACCTGGAGGACCAAAGAACCGCATGAGGGAGGCTCACAGCGAGACCATCACTCGCGCGGCATCTGAAGCAAGCACCGGCATCGTATTGCAGTGCCCTGACGCTTCAAGACTGGCGAAAGCTGAAGCCCTTGTTATCAAGAGCGAATCTCCAACTATCAACGTACAAACCACCGGATATGCGATCGAGGACTTTGGAATTATTTTTCCAGCAATTTCAAGTTGGAATTTTTGAATTGTACATATATCAATACCCCGTGTTTTAGGTATCCTGAAGTGAAGTACCCCGTGTTTGTACATATGTCATTAAAACATTTTAGATTTTAGTGTTGCAAAACCTTCAGTTACTTGATAATGAATATTGTATTTTCAAAGCATGGTACTGTATATAATTATCTATTGCTAACCTGATATTTGATTTATCAACGCGAGGAATAAACTTCGTTCGACTTTTAAAAGATACAAGCATGAAAATTATTAATACAAAACATTCTCTGATCTTAAATCATGCTTGTATAGAGCTAAACTAACTTGTATTAACTGTTTCAACACGAGCCATGCCTTCAGTCCAATGCTGTTTATAGGCTTAGTTTAAAACATGTGATCATTCAATTATTTATTAAGAATGTTTTCAATTTTTAGAATTGCCAACAAATAAATTGGATGATGAGGTCCTCAGATTTAAACGGTGGAGTGTAAAAATTTTAGCTGCTCAGATATAATGTCTTATAGGTATGGAAATAAAATGGTGTAGAGTAGATATGTAAAGAAATAAAGAACACGATCATTACGAAACTAAAAGCTCAAAAGCACGCGTATCCAGTTCAAAAATAAATTAATAATAATCATAATGCTTCTTCATATGCGTACCGTCAACTTTGAGGAATGCGAAGCATGCCAAGTTAATGACAGGCAAAACGGGCTTTCGTTTAGACCATTTAAGCTCATTCATGAATCTAAAATTGAATGCAGCCTTAACTTAAAAACGATTTCCGAGGTTTAATCTTAGAGGCTTCATCATATATTGGAGCTATAGGAGAATGTTAATAAGCTAACGCTCAGAATAAATCGGAACTTAGTTCGACTATTGACTACATGCGAATTGAAATGAAGCCATGGGTTACATCAGGTGAGATTGAAAGATGATACGATAGAGTGAACTTTCCTTCATTCAAGTTTTGAAAATTTCAGTAAAGAGAGCGATAACCATGAGGCCATAAGATTCTCAATCACATAAGTATAATTCTTCACACTTTAGTGTATTTGCGAATTGAAGACGTAAAATCAGTGAAAAATATATATACATCTTCAATGGAAGTGAAACCAAAATTCTAACCGAATTGTCGGATATTAACTGGATTGTTTTGAGGGTACAAAAAAAAAAGGATTTCCTTGATCACGGTTCTGACGTCTCATTGGCCCGCATGATTGATAACACGTTGAATTAATAATCATGGCATTGAATGAGCTTTTGCCGAGAAGTTCCGGACAGCTAATCATCGAAAAGGAAATTCACAGCCGCTCAAACTGATAATATAAAAATGATGTGGGATACATATCATACAAACTACTTGTATGGCTTTGGAAAGCAAATTACTCTCGATTTGCTTAATTAACTGATCTCATTGTTTGTTCAGTTCACGACTGCAACCAAATCACAGTCCTAATCGAAGACTGTTTGTTCCTGGCCCGTAGTATAGCTTGTCAAGCCATTTTGATAAATTGGGACCACTTGTGCGTGGCATTCAAGTGGATTTCTCAATTGTAGCGGATCAGGTACAAATATCAGGACGATCACTCTTGTTTCGGTCACACTACATTCTTAAAAAAATGATTATAATACAGATAGAATGATATGAGTGAAAAAACATCTACGGAAAACCAACCGTTGGAAGAGAATAACGGTACATTTGATAAGAAGACAAGGATAGTTCGGCCTTGAGTGTGAGGGCGCGAAGGCCGCGACCTCCGAGGCGCCGCCCCTTCGGCGTTTGTCCTCCAAGTGAAGGAGGCGGACGCCGCGCTGGACTATTTAAGGGCTGCACTGCAGCGCTGAAGCATCACATCCTCTCGCTCCTGCCAAGCATAAGCAAGATGAAGCTCCCGGTAAGCGCAGTTACTCTTAACTATGTTTTACTGATACTCGAGCAGCTTTACAATTGTGAACTGAGTTGCATGTTTTGAATTATGTTTCACGAACGCAAAATGAAACAGAATTTACTGTCATATCAAGTTTCTAGTCACAAATATTATGATCGATGTCAATAAAGTGTACAATAATTGTGAACACTTGGGAGTTTTAATCAATATTATCTTTCCTTCATACTCAGCTCTTCGCCGTCGCGCTCCTTGCGCTCGTCGCCGTCGCCTTCGCTGAACCCGAACCCCAACCCTGGGGAGGATACGGAGGATTCGGTGGCATCAGAGTGGTACGTGTTGGTGGATTTGGTGGCGGATATGGTGGCTACGGATATGGCCGCAAGAAGCGATCTGCTGAACCTGAAGCCCTGGCTGAAGCTTCCCCCGAGCCTGAAGCTGAGCCATGGGGAGGCTATGGTGGATTTGGTGGCTTCCGTGGTGGATTTGGTGGTTTTGGAGGTGGATTTGGTGGCTTTAGAGGTGGATATGGAGGCTATGGATACGGCCGCAAGAAGCGCTCTGCTGACCCCGAACCTCAACCATGGGGTGGATATGGAGGATTCGGTGGCTTCCGCGGTGGATTTGGGGGTTTCAGAGGCGGATTCGGTAGAGGATTTGGAGGATATGGCTACGGAAAGTAATCATAATTTTTGTTATCAGTCAGTTCATTGCAGCCAAAAATAAACTAAAATTTTTACCAAAATTTCTTTTCAATTCCTTATCTCTGCACATCCATATAGTAAGTCCCAATTTATACATATCTTGAACGTTTGTTCATGAGTGAAAAGAGGACATATTGTGTCACGAAATCGACTTATGGAATGAAAATATTAGTCAATAATTAATTAAAATAAACAAAACGCGGAAATAAGTAAGCAAGACATATTGGTATCACAACAATTGGAAGAATGTCACAATCATTTTTCTTAATTGAAGCAAATAATTATAAGATTATCGAGAGGCATTCAGAAATTATCGCAATTCTATCTTTCGACGGAAATTTTGACTCATAGGTATCATTGACGATCATCATCATATATTGTCACTCTTAGCATTGCATAAACTTTCAATTATTCAAACATTTTTATAATGTCCGCCAAATCAACATAGAGGTGCAAAATAGGCGTTAGTATTGAGGCATATATTTACCAACCTGAAACATAATTATTGTTCCCAAAAATCAAACCATCTATAATAACAGGAAATATATTCAAACTGATATAAAATGTCTAGAATCAATGGTGGTAATAAACGTCCTCCTTGATTCAAAATGCAGCCCAAGGGTTCCTATAGGCCTTTCTATTAAAAATTGTTAGTGTACGATTTCATTTATTAGTTTTAGATGGCAGAATTTGCTGAATAATACGCGTGCGATTAGTGACCAGAGAATTCGTTAATTTAAACTAGTAGAGAGTCGGACAATTCTTCAGATGATGTTGGTAGATCGAAAGACATATTTCAGGAAGTAGTTCTAGTTTATTAACAAAGTTTCGAATGCAACCAAAATTCATTTTCAAGTTACAAGGAGCATTGAATATTAAAATTTTGGCGGAAATAAGTACATAATATACGTAAATAGGATACTACAGTGAAATTTTGAACCAGAAAAATTACTCTGAAAACTATCCCAAAGTTCAGAAAATCCAGCAGCCAGGAGACAGACAGCTGGCGCCCAATCCGCAGAGAAGTCAAAAAGATGAACACTATATAGAGACTCAGAAATGTGAGAAACGCCTGAAACGGTCTCAAAGTATTACAATCGAGCAGTATCATTTCAAAATCATCGATGAATTAAGTTGGCTCCTTGACACCCTTGAAAATAACGTCAAATTCGGCACTATACCGATAAATGGCAAATGCAAAAAAGTGTGAGTTCTCCAAGAGGCTGGTGTAATCTGTAAATTTTGCTTCAAAGAAGGTTGTAGACTTCTTCATTAATTGGATTACATTCAAGTAATTGTAGTAACAACTACGACATTGAACTGCCACAAGCTCACAACCAGACCAGGTCTCAAAGTACTCATATTAAAAAGAAGCGACTGCATATCGAGATCGTCGATGAATTCAGCGGGCTTCGAGACATCCTTAAAAACAGCGTCATAACCCGGAATATACGCAACAATGGTCCCTGCAAAGAAGCGAGAATTCTCCATGAGACCGATGTATTCTATAAATTTTGCTTCAAAGAAGGTTGTAGACTTCGGCCCGTACGCTAAATAGGGCACTAGCACTACGAAGTAGCACTAAGCACTACGAAGTGTCCTGTTGGTATGCTAAATACGTCACAGACACTAAGCACTTCGAAGTATGCCGCACTATGGCTTGTAGTGCGTAGTGCTACTTCAAAGTGCTAGTGCCCTATTTAGCATGCCAACCGTAGTGTTCCATGTCGCACTAGTACCGCACTACGGCTTGTAGTGCGTAGTGCTACTTCGTAGTGCTAGTGCCCCATTTAGCATACGGGCCTTCTTCATTATATGGATTACATTGGAATTATTTAAGTAACAAGTGTGACATTGAACAGCCATTTCTTTTACCAACTGAGACAAGCTCACAATGAGACCAGGTCTCAAAGAATTATAAACAAGCGGCTTCATCTCAAGATTGTCGATGAATTCAACAGGCTTTGCGACAACAACGTCAAACTCCGAATTAAACGCAATAACGGCCCTTACAAAAACATGGGAGTTATCCGAGAGGCCGGCATAGTCTATACATTTTGCTTCAAAGAAAGTTGCAGATCTTCATCATTTGGACTACATCGGACAAATTGGATCAATAACCAGGAGACCGAGCCGCTGTCTCATTAGCTACCTTCAACCCGAAGGGCAATTAAGTGAACCACATGACAATCTCACAACCAGACCGTCACCCGCATTGTGCTGCAAGAACCCACCAGCACTGTCATCGAGCGGTGGCCGACATCGGTCGACCGACGATGGCTGACCTCCTCGTCTCTGCGGATGGGGCACCAGCTATCTGTCTCCTGCATGACTGCCGGATTTGTCTAAACTTTGAGATAGCTTTCAGAGTGCTTTTTCTGGTTGAAAATTTTAATGTAGTATCCTATTTACGTATATTATGTACTTACTTCCAACAAAATTACAATATTTAATGCTCATTTTAACATTAAAGTAATATACGTTTAAAAATTACTTTTTAAAGACAACACTTCCAAAGAATCCAGTATCTCCAATCTTACAGATGTACAATGAATTTCTCATCTAATTTTCGAAAATTTAAAAAATTTACTTTTTAATTTTTCTAATATATATAATTTTTTTTAATATATAATTTTCTCAAAATTATTTATTCCGTTAATTGATTCATGCATTGCCTCTGATTTCACACAAGTGTGCAAAATTTCAGATCAATTAGACACGTAAAAGTGTGTCAAATATCAGTTATAAGATTTGTAGCTGACACAATTATTTTTTCAATTTTTTAATATTGAAAAAAAAATTTTTTTACTTTTAAAATCATTTATTTTGACATTTGATTCATGCATTGTCTCCAACTTTAAACAAGTATGCAAAGTTTCAGATCGATAGGATAAGTAGAAGTGTGTTAAATTTTGTTTACAAGATTTGTATCAGACAGACAGACAGGCAAACAAGAAGTGAAGTTAAAGAGAAGTGTTGTAATGAATGTTTGTTGCATTCGAAACGTCGTTAATATACTATATTAACGACGATCTTGAAATATGCCTTTCAATCTACCAACATCATTTGAAGAATTGTCCGAATCTCTGATAATTTATATCAACGAATTCTCTGATTTCATTTATATACATTTTTTGGTGTTTGTAGAATAATTTAGTGTTGGTAAAATATTTTGGTTGGCCAATATTTATTTGTGAGCTCTGAATTTTAAGTGCAGCGCGTTTTCGTAGATAGTTTACCGTCCGTAGCTCTCATTTCCGGTCGGAATCGATTTTCATGATGGCAAAATTTTAACGTTGCAAACGACAATAATAAATTCGATAGTCAGCTTTTGGGGAAGTTGAAAATTTGAGTGCAATAAAGGAAATAATTAGTGTAAATCAGTTTTGTATCCTTGACGATTGATTAATTATTATATCAAGATCTTTTGGATTCAGATGAAGCAGAAGAGTTTAAATTTGTTGTGAACACCGGAATTGCGAACAGATGTCGGGTAGATACTGCATAACAATTCAAGATTCAACAGTTAGTTTGGTGTTTGTAACTCCATTTGCCTATCACTGACGGGTTCTCAAACTTAACCCAGCAATAACGATAAATCAGCCGCCACTTTCTTTTTAGTGTACATAAGTGAGTTTTGATAATAAATGCGCAGCGTAGATTTGACCCTATCGACTCCAATACATCCATCTCTATATTGCACGGCCAAGACAACAGACTCGACAGACATGCCAACTAGAAGGAAGTCGATAGTCGTTTTGCAGGACAGCTCACGCAAACAATCAAAGATCCCGATGTCTAAAAAATCAAAAGCTGTAAAGAAAAACAAAAACTACTTTTGGCCCATTCTTGTAGACAAAAATTATGAGCGCAACCAAATGTAATTTAACAATCTTTCAAAGAAGAAAACAATTAGAATAAAAAAAATGTTCATGTGTCATGAAATTTTACTATGTTAGTCGAAATAATCATTGCTATTTGTTGGAGCAATATAATAAACTTTCATTTGAGTGGCCTTTCGTGTACTATAAACTTCAAATTGTTGCGTGAAGAAATTAAACGAGTTAATCACAGACAAGTTACTTATTTAGAAGAAATAACAGAAATTATATATTGTCATAGAAGCTTCCATAGAAAAAATATAACTCAGTACCCACTGCAGTGAGTGACAGAGAGCGCATTTTCTCGTCGACGAAAACTTGAGGTCACGGACGGACGGACAGACAGACAGACAGACATGGCGAGCGCAATAGTGCATTTTTCCATAAATGAGAAAATGCGCTAAAAACAGCCATGATTTCCGGCGCGCAACCGATGCACGAGGTAGCACGCGCTCGCGCTCCGGATCCTTCCAGTTACTGAGACCTGCTTACCTTGGTGATGGTGACAAGCGTAAGCAGGATGGCAGCCTTGCATGCTTACGGTGCGCGGCGAACTTTGCGCAACTGGAGTACCAAAACGTTTCTTGGCAGTTGGCTGATTCGCATCTACATTACGAAAATGTTTTTTCTGTAGTTGATTGACAAGCTCATACGTTTCGAGAACGTTTATTGGCAGTGGGCAGGCTCCATGTACAGTACAAGAACATTATTTTTTATTTACCCGACTCTCATATACATAGCAAACATTTAAAATTTATGAGAGTTACAAGACGAAGTAAATCTCATAAGCAGCAAATCACCGACACAGGCAGCAGTGAAGCGGAGATATTTTTTTGTGCCTGGTTGCAGCTCGAATGATTGATTAGACAACAGCATTTATGGATTTATTTGTTCTGTTTCAAAGACTTTGATGATATATACACTGACACTAACTTGATACTAATCATGTATAACTGACTTTTTCTTCTTCAAATGAAGAGCTCATTTATTTAGTGTAAAATTGCATCTGCAAATATCTATAAAATTCGGGGCTTAGCTGCAACAGTACAAGTCGTAATGTGATGGGATGGTCAAGATTGTTTATGCCCTAAGTGGTTACAGTTGTCTCGAGAATGCCATCCTGCTAACGTACTTGCCCCGCAGTCAAGAAATAGGCACAAGATACTGTGCACTAGATGCGTCCCCACCTCATTCTAAAAGATCTTTTATACAGAGAAGAGCCGCTTCACAGCGCGAAAGTCACAAACATTCCAAACTGCAGTTAAAATAAAAATATTATGGATCGTTGTGAAAAGCATAAATGTATCGAAATCGAGGTAAGGTTAATTGGAATTTAGTTGTCCCGAGCGAGCTAATTGCTGTTCAGTTATTGATACCATTTGTCAGTGAAGGAATTAATTTTCTCACTCTACTACCCATCTGTACCTTTAAACAATCACAGGTGTTACTTCAACATCAACTTCATTTGAAAAATTATGCTAAGAGCACCTTGCTAAGCGGACAACATTAAATTGAGCACACTTGACTCCTCCCGGTGTAAATTTTCATGCTTTAAAATTTTGACATCAATAGTTCGGTTTTAAGTCAAACACATATTCTGATTATTTTCACGATTCCATGTCTGCAATCCATAAATGAAAAAGTTGATTATTGGTTTCATCCGAGCGGCTTTTAGTCTCTGAATGCTGAAGAAAGTAAGCCAGCAAGTAACTCGGCAACTGTGCCACTAGCTGCAGCGCCGTAAGTTTGGAAGCGTTCAATCGACAAAAACTCTTCGTCGATCAGACAGCGTATATATGAGCTTCAATCCCGAAAAATGTAACAAAAACTTCAGGAGTCAAAACTATGTCGTTTATGTCGTATTAGGTTTAAAAATGGAGATTCATAATTCAGACAATGAATAGAGAACTGTTAAGTTTCATTGAATCTCAACTGTTGTTGAGAACTGTTCAGAGAACTGTTGAGATTTGAAAAAAATCTCATTTCAGAGAACTGTTGGGAAATGAGATTTATTTCAAACCTATTTTGTTAGGAGTTTCAGAACGAAGTATTTTGAGCCTGGAAAATGTCCAACATTTATTTACAGTCATTTTTTTAGTCCATCTATTGTTTATTTTTTACATTTGATAAAGACGTGGGAGCAACATTGATGCCGAAGGCAATCAAAGTTAAAAATTTCCGAGGCCATTCAGGAAATGTAACCATAATATGATAATGAAAGAAACCTTAATTTATGTCGACATTACAGTGCAAAAATGTCCAAATGTCCAGTAGGAAACGCGCAATGAAGTCCAATTTGTGTGTCGCAAAAAAAAAAAGGTTTACGGTATTCAGAGGCTAACCAACGCACCTCTCGAACTACCTGCGGCTCTAAATAGCGTTTACGTCGCAGATAATCCCAACTACACGAAGAAAAAATCACGCACTAATCAGTCACTGCGTAATTTGTCTACAATTTCAGGCAATTAGTTCTTCTGAGGGAGTCCCTCGGCCTGCGCGTTGCCACGAGGCCGCTCATTGTCCTTCGTTTGAGTCTGGCGGTGACCACGCCAAACTATTTAAGGGCTGGACTTCGCTGCTAAGGCATCACATCGAGTGATATCTACTAGCTGACAGCAAAATGAAGCTCCCGGTGAGTCTCAATAGCAGGAATTTGTCTATTATATTCGAGCGGAGGAATATCTACGCCCCTCAGCCATAAATGTTTTTTGGTCTCATTCCCAACTTAGTGAGCTTAACTAATAAAAAATATTTTATGTACTCCAGGACCTCCAGTAGTTCCTCTAACTTACACCGCCGATCCTCTGTTAAACGACCGTTCAGGGGAACAATATCACTGATATTCGAATATTACTATCATCATTACCCAAGTAAAGACTGTGATGGACCTTTCGGTGAACATTAACCCCTATAATATAACGCAATGAAGTTGATACGAATAACAAAGTAACTTTGGCACGTAGCTCAAAGGAAATGCAGCGCGTGACATTCTTCATTTGTATTTTGTCTAATTTGAATTATCTAACTAACCCTTTAACTCGATCGTTGAAATTGCCTCTGGCAACTCGACTACAGCTGTTGAAACTCGTCCTTTCTTTTCAGATCTTCGCCGTCGCGCTCCTTGCGCTCGTCGCCGTCGCCTTCGCTGAACCCGAACCCCAACCCTGGGGAGGCTACGGGGGATTCGGTGGTATAAGAGTAGTACGTGTTGGTGGATTTGGTGGTGGATATGGTGGCGGATATGGTGGCTACGGATATGGCCGCAAGAAGCGATCTGCTGAACCTGAAGCCCTGGCTGAAGCTTCCCCCGAGCCTGAAGCTGAGCCATGGGGAGGCTATGGTGGATTTGGTGGCTTCCGTGGTGGATTTGGTGGCTTTGGAGGTGGATTTGGTGGCTTTAGAGGTGGATATGGGGGCTATGGATACGGCCGCAAGAAGCGCTCTGCTGACCCGGAGCCCGCACCTCAACCATGGGGAGGATATGGAGGATTCGGTGGCTTCCGCGGTGGATTTGGTGGTTTCAGAGGTGGATTCGGCGGAGGATATGGAGGCTATGGTTACGGAAAGTAACTGAAATTTCGTGCATCATAAATTGAATTATTCATCTCTCATCAGTACCAAATAAATAAATATTACTTCTAACTCAGTCTTTTATTTGAATGCGATTCATATCGATTATTCGGATGACAAAAAAAGACGGGCAGAAAAATTGATACGCACACCACGAATTTGTCCAGCATAAATGACTCCAAAAATAGTGTTCTGTGACTGGCCATTCAATAATGATGTTTTCAGAAGTTAATGGACTCCCAAAATTGCTTGAAGCTCATCTAAGAACTGAAATGCACCTAGCCGGTCACTTAATTTAATATTTTATTGAAATAGTTTCCCAGCAAAAAGAACCTCGGTCTTTCAACGCTGCCTTTATGGGCAGGCCTGAACTACATCGCGGGTTGCAGTCTAACTCCAGAAATCATTCTTAATTTCTAACCAAGTGGCTGAATCTTATAATAAAATAAATATTAAATAAATATTAAGATCAAATATTATTCGAAGAATTGACATTTCGAGTTAACAAAGCTCAATTGTCCCTCTGCTCAAATTTTCCAAATTATTCTCGATTGGAACACTTTTTTCAATAGGCACAAGGAATATCACTTTACAATACAAGATGGACTTTAATTCGGAATAGCCTAAAATGAAGAGAAGGAAAGCAATAATATAAATGTTAGAAAATGAGGCTCTAGCTCTTCAGGATACGATTTATTGCCATCAAAAGTCTTTCCTTTGCTTAATAATTAATGTGAGCAAATAGATAGTAAAACGGACCTATCCTCGGATAAAGAAATATTTAATAAAAACACTAAGATTGCTTCAAAAACGTGTTTCTCAATTACTATTGTCACTGAATGAACCATGAACTATTGAACAAACACTTGTGACGGTAATATTATCGGCGCCTCGAACTAGAATAGTATAAACTAGAAAACCTTTTCGAAAAACATCGTTCTCAAGAATTTCCAGCCTAATTTATAATTTAAAATATCCATGTTGAATCATGGCAAACAAAAAAAAATGGACCTTACTGGTAAATTCATCGGCACTTCAAAAAGAATCATAAGAGCTTGATGAGCTGAACAAAAAAGAGATATATGACACCTGAAATGAAGGTCATAAAATTAAAAAGAACGATGATCGGTTAAAATGAACTATGTCAAATAATAATGAAGTATGACAAATCGAAATGAAGTATGACGAATGTTTACTATCATTCGAAGTTAATAGTTTTGACTTTAAGAATATAGAATCTATACGATATACATGAATCGTAAGATAATCCGAAAATCATCTTTTCGTACGCAATTATTTCGATACAATTAATCTTTACACCTAACAAAAATTATTAATGGGGACAATCAATACAGTTCCTATATCATCATTATTTTGTTTCATCACTCATTCTCTATTTTCACAAAACTTTGAAGCCCAGAGAATTTTTCTGTATTTATTGATGAACATTTTTGAAATGTTAAGGCGGGAAGTAGGACTGAAGTAGGAGGACCAGGGAATCACGAGTCCATCACCTCTCCTGTCCTGCGGAATGGCGAATATTTTCCATGCAAGTTTTGTTGGAGGCCAGGGAGGAAATTTCATCAACAATAATCTTATATATCATTTTTTATAATTATGCTTTTTCGTTTAATTGAAAGTTAAAAAAAAGGCTTTTATGAGATAAATTAATGTATTTGTTCGACGTTCGGATGAACATTATGCATTATAGAGTAGAATTTTTGCAGTTATTAAAATTGAGGTTCTTGAATAAGATACCAACAAACATTAGATTTTGCGAATGAAACTTGTAAATAATTCTAGTTTTCTGACGGATTCAAAGAATCTTTGATGGTTGGATGGAGGCTCATCCATGATGCTGAAGGCTTCAGCCATCGCCATTCGTGTAGCGTTGTGACACCCCACGACGATGATGGTGCAGGCTAATAAGACTGGGCAGGTTTCGGTGTCGTTTCTTTGTACTCAGGACTGAAGGTGACCAGTGAGACGGCGGCTTAACGTAGTTGTAGTCAAACCAATGTAGTTATCGTTTCGAAGAAGTCCAATACATTCTTTTCTGTAATAAAATGTATACATTTCATTGTTGTTCTGCAGGAGTCCTTATAGCTTTACTATGTAGATCAATTCTTCATGACAAAGTTTTTATTTTTGGCTGTTGTACTAGATGAGTAGTTTAATTCTGTGGTATTTGTTAATCGACAAGCGCTATGATCGTGGACTAAACCAAGCCATCACTACAGTTCTCTACAGGCGTGCAGAATGAAAGAATCGCCACATAAAGAAAAACTGTGCACTTGCATACTGTCCTGCCTGTGCTAATATTAGTAGAACGGGTGATGTTATTTTTCATATTTTTGTAATTTGTAGGGACTTAGAATGTTTACTGCCGTAAAAAAATTAATAAAATTGCATTTAAAATTCCCTTGTGCCGATTTTTCCATTTTATTATGCTGCATAAATTGAAAGGAGCTAGGAGGAAAAGCTCAAGCTGGCGTTCATTTATAAGTGAATAATTATTTACAAGATGGAATGTATTGTTCAAAATTCATGAGCTCAGTTAGAAGGTATTGTAAGGACGAGTTATATTGACTAGGAGTGTGCGTGCAGACAGAAAGGGAGACAAGGTTGAGCTGTTGTATGGATAAAACATCGAAGTGTAGTATTTCTATTGGAATGATTTTGATCTGCTCAAATCTAATGAAAAATCCGGGGTAAAAGTAATTTAAATTCATGATTGTTCATTTCATTCATGAGAAAATCTTTGCTTCGTAAGGGCTACTTATTTCAAACCCTCCACGAATTTTACCTGCTTTCGAAAATTCTACAAATAAATAATATTGGTAACAAAGTGCAACCAATAAATGCTTTTTAAAATGTTATACAGTTTTCTAAAATTAAATTTCTATTCGTTGGTTTTGATTGTTGTCTTTCTGGAAACGGTTATCTGAAGTTTATTGAGGGCAATCAAAATCAGATTCTTCGAATTATTCACAAGTTTATTGTACTGTTCAAAATCGCAGGAAACACGAAATATTGTATTCAGCCGGTCTACTTTCCATATCCATAACCACCACGGAATCCTCCGAAGCCTCCTCCGAATCCTCCAAATCCACCACCGTATCCTCCACGGAATCCACCGCCCCAGGGCAGGGCTTCAGGCTCAGGGTCAGCAGAGCGCTTCTTGCGGCCGTATCCGTAGCCTCCNGTCTACACGTACCCTGATGTGCAGGTCGCAGACTTTCCATGTCTACACGTACCCTGATGTGCAGGTCGCAGACTTTCCATGTCTACACGTACCCTGATGTGCAGGTCGCAGACTTTCCATGTCTACACGTACCCTGATGTGCAGGTCGCAGACTTTCCATGTCTACACGTACCCTGATGTGCAGGTCGCAGACTTTCCATGTCTACACGTACCCTGATGTGCAGGTCGCAGACTTTCCATGTCTACACGTACCCTGATGTGCAGGTCGCAGACTTTCCATGTCTACACGTACCCTGATGTGCAGGTCGCAGACTTTCCATGTCTACACGTACCCTGATGTGCAGGTCGCAGACTTTCCTTGTCTACACGTACCCTGATGGGCAGGTCACAGATTTTTCGTTGCCTATTGAAGGCCTAAGTTCAGCTCCAATAAGTTCGATTGTGGGTTATTTTAATATAGTTCAATCTTATCTATTAATAAGAATTGAATCGAATTAATTAACTTATACGTTTGTTTCCTTGTCATTTTAGCCAAGGAATAGAAATTAATAGAGCATGAGTTTTATCTGTTTGAAATTCCCTGGACTTCATTAGAAGAAAATTATGTTTTTCAAGTTCATCGTCCTAATTTTACCCAGTGAATTTAATGCAAAAAGGAATGCACAGAATCATACTGGGTATATAATTGTCATGAGATAATTCGCAAATTCGAATGCACGAGTAAGCGAGGAAATTTGACTGAATTATACGGATTTTATACCAAGTTCCCAAACTTGAATAGCCCCATTAGAGAATGTCTAAAAGTGTTTCCAAAGAGTTTTTTACATTTAAAATATGTTACCGAAATCACTGTGTTACTGAATCCACCGTAGAGGCACCTATACACTTATTTATGATTATATGAATGACAACTTTAATGAAATTGTATTTATTGATGTGTTGTCCTAACGATAACCAACGCGGCGCGAATAAGTAACAGCCTTCCTGGGGGAATAACGAATCCTTCGGCCAAAATCGTTCATCAGCTACCTGATGTTTTCAATGCTTAATTGAGGAAGTAATGGATTACAATTCAAAGACAGCCTATGCTGATATGTCCGTTATAGGTATAATTCCAGGTAATAAAAATACAACTGCATTACTATATTACTACATAAATAAAATTCGATGCTTTAATACTAGATAATATTTAGTTAAGAAAAATATCAAATGGAGGTTGATGGACATGCAGTTGAGTTTTGCGCTTTAACAACAATATAATAATCAGTTTCAGGGAGGAATACCAGCAGAAGCCAAAAAATATTTTCTCGGAAAGGCAACTGTGCAGCCTTTATAATACCGGACTAATTAACTCGTGCGGCGAGCTTTTTATTTTGTCCAGGTGCCACGAAGCTCCACAAGTGACAGCCAATGGAAAAAAAGTAACGGAGTTTCTGGAAAAAATTGCCTTGCTACTGATTAGAGCCTAAATTATCCAGCAAGTATCGTGACTTGCATGATTAAAAGGTTGAGGATCAGAAATACCTAAACCTTGATGATGCATATGGTGCATGCTTAGGCTAGATTATATTAGCTCATGCGGAGGTTGTCTTTATTTTAAACATTTGTGGAATCACTGGAATGAACTGAAAACTTTGTGATGCACGATTTACGCATCTTCCTATCGACGTGGTTTTTTCAAAATCACATTCTTGAATGAAATAGTACTATAAAAAACAGCAATTTCAGTAATTTACTGATTTTCACCACTAGTCGTATGGTCTGTGTCAGTGAGTAGAATTAGCTCAGTAGCTCGGAATATTGATGTTACAAGCTCGGGCAAAGAACTGAATCTCGATTAAAATGAATTTTATTAAGACAATGATTTCCTTTCCTTCTCAAGTAATATATAAAGCAAATCTATTTAATTTTCAGCTCCAGTACGTGTTTGCAAAGATTGACTATGCGACGGAATTAATCTGGAAACAGAATTACATTATTCATTATATTTTCTACAAAAAGTATCATATTCCGAAATGCTGTTCGCTTTACATTAATAGGAGAAGAATGAGGTAGAATATAGAACGATTGAATGATTTACATGCATGCGAGCGAAAGTCGAAGTACTGCTTGTATATCGCCAGACGCACATTTCTCGGTGTATTAAATATGCAATTCCGTTCAAGTCTGTAAAGTATGGAACGAATTTCAAAAGAAAAATTACAATTTTAATGTTGAATTTCCATTTGAAAACGTATTTCATTAACTTTTATTTTGAATAATTCCTTTGTATTTCCTAGAATATTCTCAAAGCAGCCACTGTATTTTTTTGAATTATCCAATTATCCACTTTTGAAATATAATTCTATCAGAGTCCCGCTGAGAGCCAAATTTTCATTTGTCCGTTTCTCACTTTGGGTATGAAAAATTCAGTAGGTGAAATCAACCTAAAATCCAAATCAGATCATTCTTGGCTTCAGGCAACTCGATTGCGCCAGGAACTTGAAACATTTCTGTGAATTTCGGAGCCTCAAAAAACCTGTTTTATGAAATCACCTCTCAGTCTAAAGTCTAAACCAACTGTGAATATTTCTGAACAGTTCAGTGGCTTAATCAAGGTCTGATGGAGAAAATATTTTAAAAGCTGCTACCTCTCTTCAAAGCAATCCTCGTATTTTACAATACCCGTGGTTGCAATAATGCAGCGAGTGCGAACTAAGGCAATGTACAGCTATAATGGACAGTGTAATGAAGTGTTGCTGCAAATTTCCCACTACTGTATGTCAGGCTACGAAGTTTAAGTAGAACCGACTCGGACGTCGGTGTTAAGTTGAGTATAGCCGTCAGATACAATGCCGATCCCGACTTGCGTCCTGGTTCCTCTCTTATAGGATTTTGACTCAGACGCCAGGGTGAGTTGCGTGCTATGGTGGTGAAATTTAGCTTGGAATACTTGATGGAATATCGTGATTTTTGTGTATATAACGACTTGTCATGCGTAGATATTTACTTTCTGTTTTCTGTTGTAGGATCGTGCGTTTTCTCAGATCTCAATGCTCTAGCTCTCTCCTCGCATTTTGCTCTCATCGCACTTTAACTTCCTCCGCATTTAATTTGTTAGTTTGTTTAACTCATATGCCGCACCTGTTTTATTTGTTCAGTTTCAATTTGTCGTTTATCTTTAATAAATAAATTTAAGAAAGTTTGTTTGAGTAACTATCCGCTCCGTCCAAGCTCTTGCTGATAAAACCAGTAGGGAAGTTGCATTTAATTTCCGGTCATTGGTGGACGTGACAATTAGACCATCCGAACTTTGAGGTGACGCGATTAATTAGCTATTATTCAAGATTAGTTCGTCACAGACAGCCAATAACTGGACTATAGGAGGAACATTCAATAAAAGATTATATGAATTATTCACAAGTTTATTGTACTATCAGAAATCACAGGACGATTAAATTGCCGTATTCAGCCGGTCTACTTTCCATATCCATAACCACCACGGAATCCTCCGAAGCCTCCTCCGAATCCTCCAAATCCACCACCGTATCCTCCACGGAATCCACCGCCCCAGGGCAGGGCTTCAGGCTCAGGATCAGCAGAGCGCTTCTTGCGGCCGTATCCGTAGCCTCCTCCGAAGCCACCACCACCAAATCCACCACGGAATCCGCCAAATCCTCCACCGTATCCTCCACGGAATCCACCACCCCATGGCAGAGCTTCGGGCTCGGGGGAAGCTTCAGCCAGGGCTTCAGGTTCAGCAGCCCGCTTCTTGCGGCCATATCCATAGCCTCCGAAGCCACCACCACCAAATCCACCACGGAATCCGCCAAATCCTCCACCGTATCCACCACGGAATCCACCTCCCCAGGGTTCGGGTTCGGGTTCAGCGAAGGCGACGGCGACGAGCGCCAGCAGCGCAACGGCGAAGAGCTGAGGAAAGGGAACGCAGTTAATTAAGTTTATATTAATTCGGAAGTCACAATAAAACAGTGAGATCGTTGCCTGATCTAAGATTGAAATTTTTGGAATTTTAATACAATAGGCATATATTTAATGCAACAGACTATAATATACAGGCATGGTAACTACTTTTCCATTATACATGCACTAATTCTTTTCAGCCATTGATCATTATCTGTTCGCATAAGCAATTAAATAGAATGTATGTGCTGCTAAAGTCAGATATTCCTTATTTATAAATTGTATTCGCTTCTTACCGGGAGCTTCATGCTGGTAGGTCTTCGTAAGCAAGGCTGAGATCAGCTGATGTGGTGGTGCTGAAGCCGAGCCTTTACATAGCGCGGCGGCCGCCGCCCGCAACCTTGAGGGAAGCACAGAGTTTTTCCCGCCCGGCGACGGTCCGGAATTGTGAGCCTGCGTCTGACTCATGCGGTCGGACATGTTTCCGAGGGGGGAAATGTTCTCATGATAAACGAATTAATATTTGTTAAAGATTTATGCGAATTGAATTCCGTACTTATCTCTGTGAAAATGATAGTCGCCCTCTTCATTTCTTGCGCAGAAAAGCTGGAATAATCTTTCAAACGTTTGAATAGTTTTCAGTGACTGTGTGGTTTTGATATCGTAGGGTTCTCATTTGAAACTGTGATACTATTCCTGAGGCTAATTCGCCTCAGGAATAGTATCATTTAAAGATTTTTTGTCTGGCTCTAATTAATGATGGAATACGAGACATGTTGTGCCAGTTGTTCTGTTCTGTCAGCAGCAATGCACCTCATCTTCTTCCAATAGTAGATTCGTTCACCAATTAACGTATGATGGCAAATAANGGCGCGAATAAGTAACAGCCTTCCTGGGGGAATAACGAATCCTTCGGCCAAAATCGTTCATCAGCTACCTGATGTTTTCAATGCTTAATTGAGGAAGTAATGGATTACAATTCAAAGACAGCCTATGCTGATATGTCCGTTATAGGTATAATTCCAGGTAATAAAAATACAACTGCATTACTATATTACTACATAAATAAAATTCGATGCTTTAATACTAGATAATATTTAGTTAAGAAAAATATCAAATGGAGGTTGATGGACATGCAGTTGAGTTTTGCGCTTTAACAACAATATAATAATCAGTTTCAGGGAGGAATACCAGCAGAAGCCAAAAAATATTTTCTCGGAAAGGCAACTGTGCAGCCTTTATAATACCGGACTAATTAACTCGTGCGGCGAGCTTTTTATTTTGTCCAGGTGCCACGAAGCTCCACAAGTGACAGCCAATGGAAAAAAAGTAACGGAGTTTCTGGAAAAAATTGCCTTGCTACTGATTAGAGCCTAAATTATCCAGCAAGTATCGTGACTTGCATGATTAAAAGGTTGAGGATCAGAAATACCTAAACCTTGATGATGCATATGGTGCATGCTTAGGCTAGATTATATTAGCTCATGCGGAGGTTGTCTTTATTTTAAACATTTGTGGAATCACTGGAATGAACTGAAAACTTTGTGATGCACTATTTATACCTTTTCCTACCGACGTGTTTTTTTTCAAAATAACATTCTTAAATGAAGTCGTACTATAAAAAGCAGAACATTTCCAAGAACATTATCAAAGAAGCCGCTTTATTTTGTAAATTATTCTCTTTTGAAATAAAATTATATCACAGTCCCGCTGAGAGCCAAATTTTTATTTGTCCTTTTCTCAATTTGGGTATGAATAATTTAGTATGCTTGATCAATCTAAAAATCAAAATCAGATCAATTGTGGTTTCTGGTAAGTCGATATTGTCAGGAACTTGAAAAATTTCTGTGAATTTCGGAGGCTCCAATAGCCGTTTTTATGAAATCACCTCTCAGTCTAAATTCTAAACCAAATGTTTTTTAAGCTGCTTGATCAACGGCTGATGGAGCAAAGATTTTGATAGCATGCTACTTATCTTCGATGCAATCCTCGTATCTTACTATACTCGTGGTCGTAATAAAGCAGCGAATGCCAACTAAACCAATGTGTAGGGACAGCCAATAACTGGACTAATGGAGGAACATTCAATAAAAGATTATATGAATTATTCACAAGTTTATTGTACTATCAGAAATCACAGGACGATTGAATTGCCGTATTCAGCCGGTCTACTTTCCATATCCATAGCCACCACGGAATCCTCCGAAGCCTCCTCCGAATCCTCCAAATCCACCACCGTATCCTCCACGGAATCCACCACGCCAGGGCTGGGCTTCAGGCTCGGGCTCAGGGTCAGCAGAGCGCTTCTTCCGGCCGTATCCGTAGCCTCCTCCGAATCCACCACCTCCAAATCCGCCACGGAATCCACCAAATCCACCACCGTATCCTCCACGGAATCCACCACCCCATGGCAGAGCTTCAGGCTCGGGGGAAGCTTCAGCCAGGGCTTCAGGTTCAGCAGCACGCTTCTTGCGGCCATATCCGTAGCCTCCTCCGAAGCCACCACCACCAAATCCACCACGGAATCCACCAAATCCTCCTCCGTATCCACCACGGAATCCACCTCTCCAGGGTTCGGGTTCGGGTTCAGCGAAGGCGACGGCGACGAGCGCCAGCAGCGCGACGGCGAAGAGCTGGAGAATAAATTACTTAATAAAAGTTTTTACGATTTAAAAACACAATGTTTATGAATTTATCATTATATTGGCATTTATAAAGTACAAATGTAATATATTTTCCTAAAAACAAAAGTATATTTCTTGATTAAAGACTCAAGCTATCCAGCCTTATCCTACTTTACATATTTTTAGCTCAACTAATTCAAAGATCGTAATCTCTTACTGGGAGCTTCATGTCTGGTGTAGTTGCAAGGCGTTCAACAACTGGTGCTTGGAATCGTGAGCGCTGGTCTTTATATACCTGAAGGATGACCTTCTGTTCTGTGTCCCTGGGCTGCGAATTGGCGTCTCACCTCGAGAACGTTTGAGCGAAGGTCATCGTAACGAGCGATCTCGCCAATAGCGCTCGGTCCTGCTCGGAGGTTTTAGGATATCGAAAAAAATCGGAGCAACTCGAAGATTTATTAGATCATTTGATGGCTTTAGATAAGTAACGGTGGATGAAATCCATCTACTCAAATTTTTTAATTTTGAAGTAAAATCATGAAAATAACAACATAATTGTTGTTTCTTTGGAATTGAGTGATTGAATTATTTAACATTTATGTTCGTGATCGCGCAAGATTTTTAGAATAATAATTGATCTTTAGTAGACGAGGTAACGAAATTCTACGCGAATTGAGAGAAATATTTAAATAGAAAACAAATTTACGTACATTAATTTCATGTGGTCAGTTCGTATCTTTTATCACTAAAGCTTCCGTTCCTTTTTACACTAAAACAAGAAGTTTTTTGTCTGTCTGGTTTGGGCGCCCATGCACTCGGCCAGCGGTCGAGCTAGCGAATCCCGCCCCAATGGACAGGTCATAAAACCTCTCGAACTTCTCAGAATTTCCAGCCTCCGGAGTTTCGAAATCAACTCGGGGAATTTTTAAAGCTCGCAGATCGTATTGAAGATGCGGTCTAGTTAATGATGGGAGTCGGTAGGTAACATGATACTGTAGAATACGAACTAAACTATTCCCCTAACTTCCCAGACCTAACCACTACAGATTTTTCTATAAGCACGAATTAGATTCTTGATGAAGAGAATTCGTTGAAAAAATCTTCCATCCGTGAAAACGTTTTATCTCATTTGAAAAAAATTCTTTATGAATCTATTCGTGACTGTAATAAATTAATGGCGCAAACTTTGCTCTAAAGCGAACTCAAATGTTCCTTTAGCACACGACGTTAGTATTACCCGTTTAGAGAATAGCTCTAACTGCCAAAATGTCCGGTTGTTGAAAACCATTAAATTACATAAAAACAAAATCCGCTTATTTATTTTAATATATCCCACCATATATATTATAGACATTTCATCATATGTCACTAAAATTAGCGTGAAATGCTATTTCAAATGTTCCATGCAGGAAAGTTCTATTATACCAAAGTCCTGACTAAATCTATTTAATAGAAAAGTATCGATAAAAAGCCTCCGATTATGAATCATAATCACCCAGCGTCTGCAACATTTCGGATATGGAAGTCCTGAAGTGAATCATAGCGCGTAAACATTTTGTTCTGCTGAATTACTCGTAGAGATTAAGCGACGGAACTGAGCACTGGATGCATAAATTTACTAATTTTAATTGCATTATTACGCTTCATTGTTGTCGTTGCAAGCCGCTGAATAATTACTGATATATAATTTGTGATTCAATGTGAATAAAAATCACAGAAACAACCATGAGTATGACATCATATCGATATTTTTAAGAAGGAATATTTTGACTAAATTCTCTGGTAATACTTCAATTAATATCGAGCACCAGGACATTTTGACCACAAGAATTTATTTTCAGTCATTATTTGAATGACTATGGCAGGAACACGACATCCTGTGTCTGTCGCAAATAATAAGCTAACTGCCGAAACCAAGAATAAATAATTCTGTAAACGAACAAAAATATTACCACTAATTCTCAAAATGTTAAAAAATTTGTTCATTTAACGTTATTTCAACTAATTTTAAATTAGAGCGCAATGTAGAGCTTAGTGAAAATTTCTCGACTGAATAATTACAGGAATCGTGGTGAAAATTATTGTTTTGAGTGCAGTGGGGACATGGATAATACGGCTTGACATGAATAATACGGCTTGACATGAATAATACGGCTTGACATGAATAATACGGCTTGACATGAATAATACGGCTTGACATGGATAATACGGCTTGACATGAATAATATGGCTTGACATGAATAATACGGCTCGTAATGAATAATACGGCTTGACATGAATAATACAGTTTGACATGAATAATACGGCTTGGCATGAATATTATGGCTTGACATGGAAAATACGGCTTGACATGAATAATACGGCTTGACATGAATAATACGGCTTGACATGAACAATACGGCGTGACATGAACAATACGGCTTGGCATGAATAATACGGCTTGACATGAACCATACGGCTTGACATGAACAATACGGCTTGACATGAATAATACGGTTTGACATGAATAATACGGCTTGACATGAATAAAACGGCTTGACGTGAATAAAACAGTTTGACATGAATAATTTAGATTATCTGAATGAGCAGCAAAGATTACATTTGTTCATACCAACAATATTAGAAATTCCGAGCCTATATCAGGCTGCTTTCCAAATTACCATGAGCTTTATTGGAAGTTTCTGCCCGGATGCAGCATCACTGATTCATTATTCATATTATTATCTGGAAAATAAATTATTGATTTTTAAACTTTGACTTAAGTTCGCAGTAACAATTAACAAAGCGATCGCATTTTTCCTAATTAATTAACTGCAAGGTTGAACTTCTGAGTTATAAATCCTATAGACACGAATATAGTCAATATTTTGGAATCACATATGACATTCTTTTGACGATTATGAAATTAAAAAATATAAGTATACCCTTAGATTGTGAGCAATTATGATTATGAAGAGGCTTGTTTGTTGGATATTCATCTATTTTGTTACCCGGCTATCTTTATTTAATTACGTCGTCGTATCGTCATTTGAAAGGAATTAAAGCTTTGCAATTTATCCTTACTTTATGGTTCATTTTTCTTATCATTATAGATTAAAGTGTCCTGGAATAACAAGCAGGCGAATTTTGTCCCGTATAACTTGGATCTTAAGCTTTTAAAATCCAGTAATTCTCATCCTGGAGATTAAGATGCACGGACTCCTTATATTATACCTGAGAAAAATTGTTGAATAGTGGACACATAAGAAAAAATCGTCCCTGCAGAGCATTCTACACGGACTCCTTATAGAATACTTGAGAAAAATTGTTGAATAGTGGACACATAAGAAAAAATCGTCCCTGCAGAGCATTCTACTCAATTATCCCTTGAATGCTGAGTTAAAAATCGTCTCCATTAGCCGAACTATTCTAATGTTATTTTTTCTGGCTTGATCAGAGAATAAGGGAATGAACCGCAAAAACCTGGGAGGGCGGAGCGTCCTCCGCGTGAAGGTCACCACGCGGCTATATAAGGCGCTCACCTGCCATCAGCACATCATATCGCATCGTCCTCTACCACTGGCAACATGAAGCTCCCGGTAAGTATATCTCCCAGTCTGCATTATTTGGCTATACTTATAAATATGGTCATTGTGATTACAAGTTTTATCTCTATGTTCAAAAATTAGTTTCTTAATATAATGGTAAACCTGACTTGGAGGATGACAGCTCAAAACATTCGTGGTTCCATTGAGGCAATTTTGATTAAAAATTATAGGCAGACCATAATTAAATCTCATTACGACATATTTCCTGAATGTTATCTGCAATTCATCCACAATAACATCTTCACTGCAAAATTGAACGCTTATTGATACTATAAAATTATTCTTAACTAAAGTGTAAATGTTCGCGTTCGATATGACTTATGGTCGATGGTTGAGGATCATTTTCTTGCCAGCATTGAAATTTTATCAAGATCATCATGCACGATACTCTTGTGTGTACAGTTTTCCTACCCAACTTATTTCACGAGGTTGCCAATCTAATCGTATTTTGGTCTGTTAATGCACTAGAAAATTTATTGCATTTTTGCTTACGATAAATTTTGAGATTTCTTCATAGGTAAACAAATTTTGATAATTTCGTCAAATAAAATGAAGCAATAATAAACTCATAGTCTACATTCTATGTAACTTGTAACACACACTCATTTTTAAAATGCTTTTCAGATATTATGGTATATACCTAATGGTATGATAATGAATAAAATTTTCCTAAAGTTGAAGGGTCAGGAACATAAATTTCAATGATAGAATGTGATACAAAAATAATGAATTTCAAGTACTATAAAATTTCCCGTCAACAATCTTGATGCCCTGAACAAATGCGGCAAAGTTTTTTCGTACTGAAGATCGCTACAGTTTCCGACGTTAAAAATCACTTATCCTAATAAAAAGTAAAATCCGGTCAAAAACTGCCTCTCTTTTCAATGTGCACTAAACCAGTACAGCCTCTCCTTGGACTGAATCTCCCTAGTAATTCAAAGAAAATTACTTTTTTATATATTTGAAATTATATGTAGCAAATCCGCATATTATTACAGAAATTATATGTAACAAATCCGCATCTTATGACGGATTTTTTTTCAGCTCTTCGCCGTCGCGCTGCTGGCGCTCGTCGCCGTCGCCTTCGCTGAACCCGAACCCGAACCCTGGAGAGGTGGATTCCGTGGTGGATACGGAGGAGGATTTGGTGGATTCGGTGGCGGATTCGGTGGTTTTAGAGGAGGCTACGGATATGGCCGCAAGAAGCGTGCTGCTGAACCTGAAGCCCTGGCTGAAGCTTCCCCCGAGCCTGAAGCTCTGCCATGGGGTGGTGGATTCCGTGGAGGATACGGTGGTGGATTTGGTGGATTCCGTGGTGAGCCTGAAGCCCAGCCCTGGCGTGGTGGATTCCGTGGAGGATACGGTGGTGGATTTGGAGGATTCGGAGGAGGCTTCGGAGGATTCCGTGGTGGTTATGGATATGGAAAGTAGATATTGAACGAACGGCTAAACAAATTTTATAATTTTTCGTCAACTGGCTGAATGGATACCCTGTACCTGCGATAATAAATAGAAAATTAACAGATGTGTTTCATCTAAAATCCCTGGGTTTACCTGTAGATTTTGGTTCACTAATATGCATTGCAATAGACTATAGACAAAGTTGTCAATTAATGCTTATGTTTATTTATTATATCTATGGTGAAGAATTTGGTTCCAATTATACTGACGAATAGGAATTCAAATTTTGATAACCCTTTAGAGGAGGCATGAAAATATTTGAAAAATCTGAGGGAGAAATGTAAAATTTCTGTAGCCATCTTTGCCACACGTTAGTTCCTGTTTAATTAAAAAAAATCATATTATAGAAATTTACAAAAGAATCAACTACGAATTATGTATATTCGTTTATCTGTACTTCTTTTGTCATCAAATCGCAGTCTATGTTCCTGTCCAAATAATTTCGATGAACTTTTTTAAAATGAGTTTTCATGCAACAATTTCAAAAGGCCAAAAGTACATTTCATTACTGAACAAGATTCGTTGTCTTTTTCTGTCCGTGGCCGCGACTCTATCTAATGTGCAGGCCAGCCATTGGATGAGGATCATTATATTAAACATCAAAATTAAAATTGCTGGTACTGAGTCGAGGCATCGAAGAATAATCATAAAACCGAAGCAAGCTTATAGAATTTTTGTGAACTATAGAAGTTTGTGAATCGGCATGCCGTGTAGAAGTGAGTGAGTAGTCATGCAGAGTAGTAGTAATGCAGAGTAAAACTAATCATATCTTGCTAGTCATATCGAGTAACGAGGCCAAATTCGTATTAACTAGCGGATTTTAAACAAAAGATGGTCAAGTAACTCGAACTCAATCTCTGCACGATACAGGTTTTCGGGAAATTCAATTGGCGCAGATCCAGCGGAATGTTCCAAGTAGAACTCCACTTAACTAATTCCACCCAGTTTATAATGACAGTGAAATTAAGATTAATTAAATTTAGAGTAAGGCAAAGAAGTGAAATTATCCAATATCTATGAAATGAAAAAAGATTGTTTGCTTGTAGCAGGCATAATTCTGTTTGATTTCGTGTAACGGAGCATAATTCAATCACACATTTAATTAAATATGGCCGTTATTACATTCGTGAGATTTATGTGGTGTATCAGAGCATAATTTAATTATACATTAAAATATGACTGTTATCTTATTCGAGAGATTTTAACAAGATTAATTGATTCTACGATTGGAGTATTTTCAGTATTTTCTACTGCCATCAATTAATTTATCTTTCTTGCGTTATTTTCACACGGAGGGGACGAATTTTTGGTTTAAGGTGTGGAGGCTTGCATTATTACAATAAATTCGGACGACAATAAATTTCAATGAATTCGCGCCCCGACATAAGACATTTAATCTCCAACATTAATTTAGTAATTTATTTTAATTTCTTTTCCTTGTGAAAGTAGAGAAAATTGAGAATTCAGTGTTCGCGCAGATGGCCTTAAAACGGTCAATTGCGCGAACAAAAAGGCCAAAAAAGGCCTTGACTTCAATATAAACTAGTTTATTTGTAGCTTCCAGCGTAAAATTTCATTTCTTCTTTATTTTAGTTTTTAATTGTAATTAGGAAGTACCCCTATCATAAATTTTAGCCGGTTAACGCAATTGTGAACAAATAAATTGCGGAATTTTTCCGGAAAAAAGACTGTCTGGCAACACTGGAATGGGTAGCCTACGTATTTTCTGTATCAGCATCTACAGACAAGAGTATTCCATTAGGGCTACCTGAATAGTTCTTTATTAGTTCTCTATTACTTCCTTTAATACTGTAAATGAGAACGAATGGGCTGTGAGTTGACTAGTCATTGTATTTATTGTCATCTCCATTACATTGAATACGATGTGCACCTTTCAATCTGGTTTTCATTGTTCAAGTAAACATTTCTCACGTACATGCTTTATCTTTTAAATGAAACTAAAGCATTAGAAGCTATATATTATAGAATAATCGAACTTACGTTAACTATTCTCGTGACGTAAGCTCAATTTGGTACATACGTAAAATTTATCCAGACTCAACGTAGGCCTCAAAATTTTTGTGGTTCACCGAGTAGAAAGTTTTAGCTAGTCTGAGATTCAATTCCAACCTTACAGTTTTGAATTATCAAGCTTACGTCGGAAACATATGTAGCCCTTTTGTGCTGCCGATCAGTCATTGTGTTCATGTCGGCCATGCAACGTTTGTGAAATTAATTTTTAGCGGTACAAAAATACGAAACATTTTTGGCAAATATTTATTCCGCAAAAAGTGTTCAGTTGGATTTTTCATGGCGAAAAAGATAAGCTGAATACGGTATTATCCATCAAATGTTCAGTGTTGGGCTGTTTCTCGACAGGCCTGTAATTTTATTAGGATCTAATTTTATTATTAGGATCTAATGGTTAAAATTGGACCAGCGCCACAATTCATTAGTCATTTAGGATATGCCATCTAATCAATAAGCTCTATCTTGTTAGGATTATCCAGCGACCAAGACGTGAGAATATTTCAATTTCAAATACACTGGACATCTGCTAAAATATGACTATTTCTTAGTAAAATTTATTTCATACAAAGCAAGTAGTAAAGTATTTGAACACTCTCGACTAAATTTTTCCTATACTAGTTTTGGTAACCACACGGCGTTTCCAAAGTCTAGGTTCGGATGCACGACAGCAAGAAACAACAGTTTAATCGCTTCAGCATCTATGCATTTGTAAGAGCGTCTGATCAGTCCAGGTCGTTTATTGGCTTTATTATATTATATTATAACATGAGCTTCAATATGCTTAGAAAATTTCAACTCATTGTCGACATTAACTCTTAAATCTTTTCCCATTGTCGACTTTGACATCATCACTCTGTCATTGCAACCATGTCTTCTCATAATGTAATCTTGCTGTTCATTATTCTTGCCAAGGGGGATTACTTTACATTTGTCAGCGTTAAAACGCAGCTGCCTCTTATCAGCCTAGTCAACCAACCTGTCAAGATCACCTTGCAACTGAACTTTTTGCGAAGTATTCTTCACATTATTATAAACTTGTGTGTCGTCAGAATACATCGAGCACACGCTAGACACAGCTTCTGGCAGATCGTTTATAAACGCAACGAATAAAACAGGCCCGAGATAGGCCGGAGGCGAGCACGCCGCTGTGCACAAAAGCTCAGTCTGATATGTACCCATTAATACTGACACGTTGTCGTCTCCCTACTAGAAAATCTCTGATCCATTTGAGTACATTACTCTCAATTCCCGAAGACTTAAATTTACGCAACAGCCGCTCATGTAGGACACTGTCAAATGCCTTGGCAGAATCGAGGTACACTGCAACTACTGGCTCCCTTTCGTCCAGTAGGCTGGTCCCTTCATTCATAGTAGACAAGAAGTTGGTGGCGCAGGATCTACCGGTAATAAAGCCATGTTTACAGTCTGATACGAAATTATTAACAGTCAAATGATCGATCAATCGATCCCTCAAAACATACGGTATTCTATTCCCTTGCAAACGACACTTGTCAAACTGACAGGGCGATAGTTGCCCGGGCAGCTTTTGTCATTTTTTTCTAGGGCCGGCTAGGACAGTTGCTAACTCTTTGGGTAATCTGGGATGGAAGCCGTCTGGTACACACGACTTTGTTTGGATTTATAGCGATCAGGAGCGTGAGAACCTCTTTTTCTTGTATTTCAAAACTTGTTAATTTAGAGCCGACTGGGCGCTCTTCATTATCTGGAATACTATTCAAGTCCTCTTCAGTGAATACGCTACTAAAAAACTGATTAAGAACGTTAGCCTTGCCCTCATCAGAGGATATCTTCCGTTGATCGACTTTCAGATCAGAAATACCGTCCTTCATCTTGCACTTCGAGCTAGCGCACAAAAATAAGGCTTTCGGATTATTTTTTTTTAATTTTTGGCGATATTTTTTTCGAAGGTTTATACTGCGGTGCGTAAATAAAAAGACTTTCTAATGTTTTTGCCTTCGGTGCGGTACAGAATCGTAGCATCGCTACGAGTCTGTAAATAACGCTGGTAGTCTTCCTTCTTGGTTTTCAGCATAGCTAGAATTATACTGTTCATCCACTGAGTTTTTTTGGCTCCACCAAGCTTAATTTTAAGTACACACGCATCAACTGCAGACATAAGCGTGTCCTTGAGAAATGACCTTTACTCAGCCACATTCATGTCTTTAATACAATTCGATATATTCACTGCTTCACGGAGTTTATCATAGTTGCCTTTCGCAAAATTCGAACGCTCACGCTTCCGAGGCGTTTTTTCTGTACAGCATTTAATACTGAAAAACAATGATTAGTGATAATTTTTGCTCAATGGAACCTCGTGTCGAAGCTCATCTAACAGAGGTGCGTATTTTATAACCATCTTAGATGCTCAGTTCCCACAGCACAGGTCTACAAATGACGTAGATTTGACAGCTAAATGACCATCACTAGCTCGTTTAATTGATTCGAATATTATTCATCGGCAACTCTCTTCAAATAGCATGCTTGGGAAACTTATTTGTCATCTTATAAATGATCCAAGAGAATCCCAATCAATGTTTAAGCAATCATCGCTAATAAATAAAAATCCTATCCAAAAATGGTTCTTATATGTGAAAAAAACGAAATCAATTTTGCTTGTGGTACAGTGCCGGAAATGGCTATACGACCACCCAGTTTTCTCCAAATATTTTTTCTTGCACAAAAAATTATGGGATTCCAATTATACGAGGTTAAACTACGTTTAAAAACGGTTCCAACGCTTTGCGAAAAAATAATTTTCTCAAAATATATGAGAAGAAATTATGAAAATTAGAAAAACCTTGGTGGAAATGATTATAAGACCAAGATATGTTTTTCCGTTTGTGGATCACATACACTCATTTTAATAGGCAATCTCACCTCCTTTCGCCATAATTACCTCAATCCATCTTCTCCCCACGCTATTTACCATATCACCCAGTGTCTTTTGAAAAATGTTATCCCAAGAACGAAGGATAGCCGTGCTCAGGTCACTCGCAGATTGAAACTGGCG